TGAGTACTCCCTTATCGAGCTTACTAATTGTCTTATCCAACTGAGCGTCAAATGTTTTCCAATCTGATCTATCTAACCAATGTAAGTCCCGCTGTTCTTCTGTATTTAAACTCTCATCTGATGACTTTTCAAATTTTAGACGGCATAGAAATTTTCTACCGTTGTGCTATTTAACGACGAATATGTTTTCTGAATGAAATACATATGTATGTAAGTAAGGACTTACCTCACGTAATTGCAATATGCACGAATTAAGAATACGCATTATTTTTTATGGGAAAAAATATTTTCAGACTAAAAGGCGCCAGTTTCAAATGATTCCAATATTTCACTTATCCTTTTTCTTATTTTCTTCTATGTCAAATTACTCGAAAGCTGTCAAATTAGGGCGGTATTTCAATAGAATTATAATTCTACGTTCCTTCACTTAAGTGCTGAACACATACAGCACGACAGACTATAAGCGACATCTATTAAATATTAAAATACACACATTCTTACGGACACAGTTATTTAGACAGCTGCTCGACTGCAGGACGTCAGTTGTCGCTGTCGCTGCCTTGGAAATATAATCTCAAATTTTCCGACGACAGTAGATATAGTAGTGATGCCACTAATATGTAAAATGTAAAATTATTCAAAGCTCTAACAAACCTGACGTTATTATAGAAATAAAAGCATATAAGCTCTGTTATATCATTTGTAATAACAATTTAAAATTTAATTTACCTATTTACTTATTTTTTTTCATAAAAAATTCATTTTGAACAAAATATTAAAATTTCATTGATGTGTAATACCATGTTCAGACCGAAAATTTAAAAGATTAGATTACAATTAAGCATTTCATAACCCAACAGTGTTCTTACTCCCGTTGGAAAAAATCAAAAACAGCTATTTTTGGCATTCAAGAATTCACATCAATCAATATTTATGAAAATAAAACATTGTCTATAGTATTTTGTAATAAAAGCCGTATTTTTTGAAATATTTTCTACATTGTGGAAATAATGGACTAATTTTTTCATTTGCGAAGTCGATTTTCAGGTGAAATTAGATTAATTGCTGTAAAAAAAATTTGTTTGTTTATATTTTTTTCTCTTTGTAGAGTCTAACCGTGCGATTCTGTACGGTGATACAGTATCAAGTCTCTAAATTTGATAGAGACAATTTTTGACACTTGAGACGATTTTGCTATTCTGTAAGTGACAGTCACAAAATCTATTACATTTAATAACTCAGAGATGCTTTTAAACTTGGATGAAAATAAATATGTCGATAACAAAAATTAAATTTTCTATAACCTAGTCGAAAAAGATAATTATCAATCAAAATAAAATTATATGTTGATTTTGTTTCATWATATTTTCGAAATTTTTGTAAAATTGATTTATTTTTAACCTTTTTGTGTTTGATTTGCTTACAAAAAATAAAAAATTGAGAATCGATTAATATTAATGATGATCTCTGCTCAGTATATTCAAAATGGCAGACAAGAATTCTTTTTGGTTTTGTGACTTGCTAACTACCAGGTCTCAAATTTGAGGCAATATTTTGAGGCTAAAGCTAGAGACTTTTTAGTGAATAGTAACTAGTCACAAATTGAGATTTTACCACAAAATGTCTCAAATAGAGATTAGAGACTGCTTACAGAATCCCGCTATTAGCGTTGATCAGTTTCAAATCACTCCGATGAAGTGATTTTGAACTGCCATTTTTGTATTGCGAAATCTTAATAAATTTATAAGATTAGTGGGATGAACCACTCAGCAGCCGAAATCGTGTGATTAAGTGTCGGTCTGAACATGGTATAAGGTATTAGTATGGCCACACCATGTGTACATGAAAACTGGACAGCTTGTGGTTTTATGTATATGGCGGTCATTGTTATGTCGCTGCCTTCTTACAAATGTTCATGTAAACGGATTCACGACGCCATTTACAGTTCACTGTCGAGCTGCAATGTCGAGTCGCGCTCTCTATGTACATTTTAATTTTCCACGATTTGGATTTTTCCCGTAGAAACGAGTCAGCTGATTGCTCTCTCACAACGCTAAATCTTAAAATAACTCAAACTCGAGACTTATACTGAAGTAATTATAAAAATTGTCTTCAATATGTTTAAAATTTATGATATATAAACTATTTTCAGCTTTGATATTTTATATTATAAAAAATTGTAATTGAAAACTTAGATGTGTACAAAACTATATATGCTTATTGAGCAATGACAACATTGTTCACATGAAAACAAACAAAGAAGGCTGAATTCTGCGTTTTTACCACGGGCTCAACTTTTGACACATTTTGCTCCTTACGGAAGGAAAAGGAAGGAAGGCAGTAGCGTTTGGGGCTGTTTCTGCTATTAGTTGTTGTTGTCTATTTATCACATTTGTTCAATAGCAAGATATGAAAATATAAACGGTTTTGTTCACATCTAGGTTATCTTATAATTTTTATAAAGGAAAATATCAAAACTAAATGTAAATTATTAAAAATAGTATAACTTTTAATGAATAACTGTATTCGACTGTAATTAAGAGTTAGTTTAAGATTATTTCGAATAAGTTCAAGTTCATTTTTTAATTACTACAAAATATAATATAATATAATATACTACTATTAGCAACCCCGTTTTGGATGAGAGAAATCAGCTGACTCGTGTTTATGAAAAACAACAATGTTGTTTCGATAGCCCAAAAACAACAATTTATCAAAAGTAATTGAATCCATTATATCAAAATCAACCGTTCTCTTTTTTATTTTGTTTTTATAATTCAATAAAAATAACTTTTTCCAAACTGAACCCTTTTTCATAAGAGGAATCAGGCTTCATATCGACACAACTTTCCATAATTGAATCATGCTTAGCAATACACCATGAGTTTGTAAGTTTAAAAATACGTTTATTTTATATACAAATCTGGTTATATTTGGTAATGAAAATACCAGGCAACAGTTATTGCCCGTGAATACTGCTTGCACACAAAAGTCTCAGCAATGGTGACATTAAACTATGAGAATGTAAACATTCTCACCAACTGTCAAATTGCGCGCCCAATCTACAAAACTTTGATTACCGAGCAATTTTGGTTAATGTGAATATCGAATACGATTGTATAAATATTATAAATAATAAGGTGTTATAAAATGGATTTTCGCCGGAAAACGCGTGCACGAGTAGTTCGCAAACCACAGTACGAAAATCTAGAAATAAAGTACCCACATAATGTTTCACTTTACCGAACTCCACCGATTGAAGACATAAAAATTAACGAATTCGAAGACTTGGCTCTGGAACGACTGAAAGTACTACGCATTCTGGAGCAAGCAAATTCTAAAAACCTTCGTTTTTTATCAGATGAATGGAAAGAATCAGTCAACACTGAGCTGAATCGAGAAGGTCTTAGAGGTTACCTGCGGCTGTGTATGGGCAACACCGTAAATCCGTCAACGGATAGTAACAAATATGAACAAGAATTGCAAGCAAGGCGACGTGATTATATTTCACATTTTATTCTGCGGTTGGCATACTGTCGCACTGAAGAACTGAAACGGTGGGTATAATACAAAAATGGGAATAAAATAATTGTAATTAAATTAGCTAATTTTTTTTTTATTAATATCTAATTTTAAACAGTTGGTTTCTGACGCGTGAAATGGAACTTTTCAAATACAAATTTTCATCAATGACCAGCACTGACATCAAACATTTTCTTGAACTGAATAAACTAGACTATGTTCCACTGAACGATTCCCAAAAAGATTCAGTTAAAGATGGATTATACGAGAGTACCGTCGGTCAAAGTATATCCAAAATTGAAATGCTGGATTTTTACAAAGTACCTTTTACACAAGTTTTGGACTTAGTACGAACACGTCGATGTTATTTGAAAAGTGGATTTGCATATGTAAACACACATGATTTTGTTTCAATTATAGCCGTCATTCAGCTCAATGAAATTGAACATGGTTTGCAATCTGCGCAAAAGCTTATACGAGAGGTGGAAGCAGATGAACGCATATTTCATTTACTGAAATCGTTACATACTTCATATACGGGTAAAGATTATGCCCTCAGTAAAGAAGGGATTGTGTCACCTGAATCTTTGGACCAGCTTTCAAAAAAATCATTTCCAATATGCATGCGCAGTTGCCATGAATATCTGCGTACAAATCATCATCTTAAGCATGGCGGACGAATGCAGTATGGTCTTTTCCTTAAAGGGATTGGTGTTACTTTGGAGGATAGTCTGCGCTTTTTCCGAGAAGAATTTACGAAGAAAATCGATGGTGAACAATTTACGAAGCGTTATGAATATAACATATATCACAATTACGGCAAAAAGGGTTCAATGATCAGTTATACACCTTATTCATGCCTTAAGATAATCCAAGAAAACGCAGTCCAGGATGATTGTCGTGGATGTCCCTATAAAACAAATGATGCAAGTACGTTAAAAATGAAACTTGCATCATATGGCTTGTCTTCGACACATGTTCAAGAAGTCATGGGCTATGTATCAAAAGGCCATTATCAGCTTGCATGTGGAAAATATTTCCAAATAATGCATGATTCACCAGTAGAACTTGGTGTTCACCACCCGAATCAATATTTCGAAGAAAGTCAAAATGTGATGGGTAATCGATCCACTAAAAAATTAAGTAATGCCAAACAACCTAATAGGAATAGACATGGTGGCACCGAAAATACACAGGTTATGAACGCCGATGAAGATGATGAGCTCTGGAACACAGCTAAAACTCAAGAGAGTACTTATAACAGCATGCAAGCGGAAAAGAGTGCATGGGATGAAGACCTTGATCTTACACATATAGATTGTTAATAAAAATTGAAAAAAATTAAAAATATATGTATACACCAAACTTTCATTATAATCATAATCATTATTTTATACTATCGATTCAAATAGTCGTAATTGTAACAAAACTCATGCTTACCGTTAACTTTTATATAATTTTACCTATTAAAAACCTAATTTTACATCAGAAAAAGTAATTTTTATTAAACGATAGCATCTCGATCACTTGCATACAATACAACATTTTATCAAAAATCAAATCAAAAAAGTCCACGTTTCAATTCATGTTATATATATATATGTATATATATAAAATTTGTAAATATTTTGTGCGAAAGTGATTAACTTGTTTAGTAGCGTCCGCCACCGTTACCACCGCGAAAACCTCCATTGTAACCGCGACTTCCGGCTCCATTCCGATCACGGAAATTGCATTGCGATAATTCGTTTGCACGCCGATCCTTCATCGATTTGAAACGGTTAGCCATTTCACGAAGTTCGGATGGAACATCTTGATCAGCTTCTTCCAGAATACTTATCAGTTCCTTAGCAACACCCCAGTCACTACGAGTAATGTAACTTATAGACGTTCCCTTGCGGCCAGCACGACCGGTTCGACCAACGCGGTGCACATATTCCTCAATGTTGCGAGGAAAATCAAAATTGATCACATGTCTAAAAAATTAAAGAATTTTAATTAAAGAAGTAGTCAATGCGAGTAATAATACTTACGTTATGTCGTCGATATCTAATCCTCTGGAAGCAACATCTGTGGCAATTAATATCTTAATATATCCTGAGGTTATATCTGCAATCGCTTGCTCACGATCAGACTATAAAACAAACATTTTATAGATTATTGGATATAAATTAGAGAAATAAATGTATGTAATACCTGTTCTCGGGAACCATGAATGGCGGTACACATATGTCCTTCAATTGTTAAATCGCTGGACAAATCATCAGCTCGCGTCTTCTTTCCACAAAAGATTATAACTTTATCATTTTTCTGCATATTTTTTAAAAAACTCTGAATCTATATGAAAAAAAAACTTTTTTATTAGTAAATTAATCTGGTATACGTAAGTAGAATATCTTACAGCAAAATATTTATCGCCTTCGTCCATTATTTCGATAATTTGCTTAACTGTGTGTGTGGCTGCCAAATCTAGTGAACCCACGCATACTTGTATAGGATTGCTCATGTAGCTTTGTGCCAGACGGCGAACTCCTGGAGGCCAGGTAGCGCTGGTCATAACTGTTTGCCTATCGGGGCGTATATCTAGCAACACTTTACGTATTTGTGGTTCAAAACCCATATCTAACATACGGTCTGCTTCGTCCAGTACCAAATAAGTAACACTAGACACATCAATGACATTGGCTTCGATTAAATCGTTAAGGCGACCTGGAGTACAAATTATTATTTCAACACCACTTTGGACGTTGTTTATTTGATCACGGCGATTCCCTCCGCCATATACACATACGCTAAAAGTATTAATAACGTTAAAATCGGAAACAAATTATTAAGAAAACTAGACTTTAAAATACTCACGCTTTCATGCCGCGGAATGAATACTTATGGACTTCTTTTTCAATCTGTAAAGCCAGTTCGCGTGTTGGCGCAAGGACCAGTACATTGGGTCCGCCGCGTTCTGAACGCGGGGTACTTTGGTACTCAGTATGAATCATGGCAGGCAACAAGAAAGCTAGTGTTTTACCGGTACCGGTTTGGGCAATACCGATCATATCCTCTCCTTTTAATAAAATTGGCCATGCTTGTGATTGAATGGGCGATGGTTTCGCAAATTTTTGTTTGTTTATTTCCTCTAACAAATCGGGATAAGCTGCAAAACACTGCTCGAACTTCCAAATCGGATTTGGTATATCTTCTGGGACGCCATCTTCCTTAAATACACGTGAGACTGTTATGTTATTGTTTTCCTTTCGTATACGTTGTGCGTCTTCGGTAGTTAAATTTGTAACTTCACAATCTTCTAAATAGAAATTTTTTGTCAAGGGGGGCAATTGAGCCCAACGTCTTGCACTTGCTTCCTTCTGAAATGTATAATAAACAATTCGTCTTAGCACTAATTATAATTAATTAAATCTGCTTACCGATTTTTTCACCATAGCCTCCCAATCAATAGGAGCATCCTCATTCGAAATATCTTTATCATTTGTATTAATAATTTCCTCTTGTTGTTCTACTTTATACATGAAGTCGGTCTGTTTGCTATGATCAATACTATGGTTATTTCTTGAACTTGAATTCAACTGACGTTCTATATAATTATAAGCATCTTTTACATCTTGTTCATTTTGCCCTCCAATCGAGGCTGATCCAGTTCTTTTATCGAGATCTATTCGCACATTGTAATTGTTTTGAATGCGTTGTATATTGGATCCTCCGCGACCTATAATCAGGCCAACGCAGTCATGTGGAATATTTATTTTTTCTCTGTAGTTTTGAACTTGGGATGTTCGTTTTCTGCCCGTCTCCGAGTATTGATGTTGATTTGAATTATTTCTCCGACCATTACCACCTGTGTAATAGTGATTATTTTGGTTACTTTTCCGAATTTCGGGCGCTTTAACTACGTTTTGTGTCTCATCATCCCAGTTTTCTTCTCCCCAGTCCGACATATTATTTCTTTATATGAAGTAAATGCAACAACGAATTGTGTATTTAATTTTCAAGCGATTAGCAGATGACGTCTTTTGTAGACAACAAATTTACCTCTGCAACAAATTTTAGAATAAAATAAGGATATCTCTGATAAAACTGTATATTTCCATAAACGAAGGTAAGGAATTCACGAAGGATATGTTGTCACAACCCTAATACCATGGTCACACTGTGAAGAAATTGTAAATATACTATTTCTGTTAGTGTGAGTACATACGTAGAAGCATTCTCTGCGCAATATCGACAATTTCTCTTTTTGAAGTTGTCTGTTCCGTTCCCACATGCATTTCGAGTCAACCAATTTTAAGCATTTTCTTTCATTTGCTTTTATTTTCATCTTAGGTACCAAGTTTATTTGGTAAAATATTGATAACATTTTAATATCAGAACATATTGCATATGTATGAAACCTTTAAAAAATTGCGAAAAGCATGTGATAAAGAAAAATTGAAAGCTTGTTTCCAACTTGCCATTTGACTTGAAATGAAAAATTGCCATTGCACGACGGAGGGAACCATTGCTCAAACACATTGAAACATTTCCTGCTGTTTACCAACACTACCAAATTTTTTAAATTTACAATTGATGTAACACATTGAGCGCGACAGACTGCAAGCGACAGGTGTCAAATATTAAAATATGTAAAATGTAAAATTATTCAAAGCTCTAACAAACCTGACGTTATTTTACCAATAAAAGCATAAAAGCTCTGTTATATCATTTGTAACAACAATCTAAAATTTAATTTACCTATTTAATTATTTTTGCATACAAAATTTTACCTTGAACAAGATATTAAAATTTCGCAAATTAAATATTCTATACAAGAAACCAATGACCGATCAATTGGTTTGCGGTTAATTTGTTATCCGTTCTATAAATTGTCATTTGGTTTGGAAATACAACACAACCAAATTTTAACAGGACTTTATAATAGATGATGAAGCCAATGGAAAATGGTTCTGCAAAGAACACCAACATCACACGAATCTACGGAAGAAACGAAATAAAATTATTGAAGTAAATTTTCTAAAAACGACTGGACATTACTGGACAAATACGGGGATTTTCTTGCTCTTGGAAGATTGCATGATGACACAAAATGCAAAAATCCAATACCGAAATATGAAAGGTCAAGAGAGCACCCATTGCAGAATATAGTGATATATGAACGGCTGATTCGGTCAATTTATTGGGAATGACTATTGAGCATTACTATTGTGAATTAGCGCACCTTCTGCATTCATTTTTAACAAAAAACTGTAACAAATCTTTATAATTTAAATAGAAATTACAAATCTATTTAAAATTTACCTTCCTCAACAATTTAACGTCAAAATATGTTTTTATGTAAAATAGGGTTGCAATTATATTTTTACGTGTCATTGCAGGAAAATAAATATGTGTTTTGGTTTGAGATATGTTACAGCCAATGCAAATAATTTTCTGCGTGCGTTTGTTGTTGTGCCGTTGCATCAAGTGGAAAATTCTACAATTCGTGCACTGGGCAGGGGTTTGCAAGAGCAAGAGAATATCCCTATAGTTTAATGTACGCAAAAGTGAACAATAACAAGTCGCTTACTTGTTTGCTAACAAATGTCTGTCTTGCAGGGGGATTGTGGCAGTAGAAAAGTGTGAATGTATTGCAACTTAAAAGCAATTTATTGGTCGTGTAAGGTCTGGGTTACAAATTACAGACAAATTATACCATTGTGAACATATGACAAATTCCGATGAAGAGTGTAAATAAAGCGGCAGTGGCAAATTACCGTCAAAAATTCCTCATGCCCATAGCCTTGGTATTGCGTATACTTGATGTGTGGAATACAATGCTCGCGACAGACTGCAAACGACATCTGTCAAATATTAAAATACACACGTTCTTAAGGATGGACCTATTTTGACAGCTGCACGACTGCACGACTGCAGGCCGACAGTTGTCGTTCTCGCTAACTTCAATTTTATCCTACATTTCCCAACGACAGTAGAGTTGACAGTAGAATGGAAGATAGAGAGATGAGGTAGAGTGGTGATGCCACTAATATATAAAATGTAATATTACTCAAAGCTCTAACAAACCCGACGTTGTTTTACAAATAAAAGCATAAAATAGCTCTGTTACATCATTTATAATAACAATTGATAATTTAAAACAAATAAATTTACCTATTTACTTATAATTTGCTATAAAATTTCATTGAAGTGCGAGGTATTAGTATGGCCACAACGAAATTGTGTAATGCAAAATTTACAACTGTGCTGTTTTGTGTACATGCCGGCCAGTGTTATGTTGCTGCCCTCTCACAAACGTTCATGTAGTAGGATTCACAACGCCGTTTTCAGTTCACTGTCGTGCTGCTGCAGTCTGTCGCGAGCATTATGTTCCTCACATGAATAAAAATGGCGGCAAAGCTAATCGTTGAAAAAGTAGATTTTGACGGTGGATTAATTGACCCACGATGTCTAATACATCACACACATAGATAACTCCCAGTTGTCGTTGTCGCTAAATTAAAACCATTTCTAATTTTACGGACGACACTGTAGTGTTGCCATCACTAAGTAAACTGAAAAGTTATTCAAGCCTCTAACAAGTAACGTTATTTTACAAACAAAAGCATAAAATATCTCTGATATAACATTTGTAATAACAATTGATAATTTAAAACAAATGAATCGACATTTATTTCACTGTCCCGCTATGTGTTCAACGCTTAATGCTTATACAAATTGATGCACTAATAATAATAAATTAAAAATAGCTAAATAGATATAACTAGTAATGTAGGCATGCAAGCTGAAAAGGCATCTATTCAGTATGGGTCTATCATCTTGCGCAAACTGTCRGTTTTGCGACAAGGACCCTGAAACCCCGGAGCACCTGYTAATCRACTGCATTGCAGTCTGTAGGCGCAGGTCGAAGGCCCTTGGAGCCATGTTTCCGGATAGGGATCACATCGCCTCGCTAGCACCCAGCAGAATACTGGACTTCATCAATATGCTGGGGCTAAGCGAGACCCTGTGAGTTAGGTGTGGGTACAATAGACCTAAGGTCGCAGTGCATTCCTCAATTATTTATCTATCTATCTATCTAATGTAGGCATAAATTCGGATGTAACAGAAGACCTCTTGCAACTTTCAATGATCAGATCTTCTTCCAGATGAGTTAAGTAAACCTCATTGTTTGATGAAACCGTTAGTGGATTACAATAAAAGCTAAAAGATAGATATGTGTTAGCATATCTAGGCGGGATAACGTCACCCGGAAATTGAGAAATGTTTATATGAGGTATAGAAAGGGAAGTATTGACCCGATTTAATTATTGGCACAAATGGTTTCTCTCTGGATTCCAATTATATATCTCATGCAAAGTTTTATTTCGTTATTTTAATTGGTACTTTATCTGGATTCTCGAGTCCAAAAGTATCGGACGTAATATTGAATTATGTGGGCGTGGTTGTAGTCCGATTTCATACACTTTGGTGTGTGTTATATACAAAATTTAGTTGGTATCGGTCGAGTATGTTCTGAGATATGGATTTTCACATAAATGTGGGCGGTGACACTCCCATTGTCAAAATTTTACACTATCTCAAGTGTATAATTGATTTTTTGCACTTGTAGCAATTTTTAACAAAGCCGTTATATGGTGAGTGGCCTGAGATATTACCTACTTACAGGTACACATTACACCTGTTTTCACACTTTCGTAAAAAAGGCCGAAAATATTAGTTCTGTTTATATTTGGGTGATATAACTGCATTGGTTTGAAAGTTATATACATTACACTTATTATGGCGGAGCCACGCCCACTTGTCAAAAATTTTCAAACCACAGACGTCAATAATAGTGGCCCGATTACGCCCTTCTACAATTCCAAACTTCTTATTATACGAAGTATCATCAAGATATTTTAATTATTTTTTAAAACGGACAGAGAGACAGATGGTCACCCGGATTTCTGCTCATCCCGTGGCTTGTAGCTATGGGATTTCCCGGCAAGTCGATTGTATACCATAAGTGCTTTGGTAGTCTCGACTACGGCCAGATCCACATGCTGCTTCCACCGGTGAGAGGAATCCAGAGTAGAACCCGTATATTTTGCCACATCGGTCATCTCTCTGCCGCCAAGGGAATGGCTCGAACAGGGCCCTACGCCTAGTAAACAAAACGATGGTCGTTTTCGAGGTGTTGTTGTTCAATCCAACCCCAGTGAGCAAACCTATACTCCAAAACATTGAATGAATTTGAAAGAAACTTGTTAAATATTAAACAGGAACTTCTGGTAGTGTTATTGGGTAGTTAACTAGTAGTGTAGCGGTTAGTGGGCTTGCTGGGATAAATTTACAATAAAGCAAAACTTAAAAAAAATGCGATCAAATTCAATACCATTTCTTCTAAAATACCATTGTTATCACGATGAAACGGTTTAATACATTTTCATATAGTGTAGGCAATCTCAGATCGTTGACAAGCACATCTGTTGTGACAGTTCAATGTTGTATACCGTTTTCAAAGAGAACCGCCTCTCTCTCAGCTCGTGTACGGACAAAATACTTGTGTGTAAAATTTTTCTGTGCCAATTAAACTAAAAATAAAACTATTTTAAGGGATAAGAACTAACTAAACTGTACTGTAATTTTTGTTATAGTAATTTTAAAAACATTAGTGAAGATTGCGCATTGTATAAAATATAAAAATGTGGAACGAATTTATGTTTCAGAGGTCAATATAAATTTTACCAAGCTTGTAGGGAAAACCGATTGAAAAATCCTGTACAGAGGCGAACTAGCTTCAATAGTATATATATTAGTACGAAAGAAATGGATGCAAATCCATCAGCTTGAATATGGTTGTACTACTTCAATAAGTGTTTGGCCGGGGTACAGCGTAAAATTCAATGTCTATTAAAACGAAAACAAAAGCGAAGGTATCGATGGTGGTAATATACAATAAAGACGAAAAAGTGGAAGTGGAATTAACAGTCACTGCTGTCAGCTAAAAAATCCAAGTAGGAAAGGCGACTGCGATTGGCGAAAATGGCGTTCTAATCGAGCTGGTGTAAACCCTTTCCCTTTTACTCGGCCGCAATTTTTAAGGATAAACTGAGAAATCGGCAGTGGCTTAAAATAATGTGGATTACTAAAGGACTTATTAAAAATAAATAAAAATGTGCTATATGTAGAATGAAACGAATGTAGTGTACAAAAAGTAATATACATAAGTAAACTCAAACAAAGAAAATTCGTCTTGGGTTAATGTATTTGCATAAGTTCACTTATTTATTTGTAACTTGTTTATTAATTACATAGTTAATATTTGAAAATAACATTATAACAACTTTTATTACCAATTCAAAATTAATAACATAATTTATAAAAGAAAAATGCCCAGCGCTTCCTTTACATCGTCACGTTCATACGTGCGCCGCTCCCGTCGAAAAGGTGTCAATCGCATAGCTTTACCAAATCGTCCATCCGGTTAGTAGTGAAATGAAACTAAAGGAAAAAAATAATATAATGTTTTCTTTTAGGTAACATAATGGATCCTATGCAACAAAACATTCCGGGACCAAGTTCTGCCTCACATTCTGGAGCAAATTCCAGTTCTAACGCCGGTGCATCTCCCCTTCAAAATAATGACCATATTACAAATTCAAATATTTCGCCTGCTCCACAAGACTCATCAGCAATTCAAACAAATCCTCATTCGACATCATCAGTCGCATCGTGTTCTTCTGGTGATACGTCATCGCAATCAGCTGCAATTGTAGTGAGCACATCGTCAGCAGCAGCAGCAGCATCAACAGCTGCTGGTGCAGTTTCATCAGAAATGTTTGTGGATGTCTCTGGGGCATCCTGTTCACAATCATCAAGTTCAGGGCCTTCTACGTCTAGCGGTATTTTAGGTCCTTGCTCATTTGGTGTAGCCAACTCAAAAAACTTGCTTGGAGCTTCTTGTTCTAATAATATAATAGTATCGTCAGGTTTTAATGGAGGAGGAGGTTTTGTGGGAAGTCACCCGATGGATTCTGGATCGAGTAGTCCTTGTCCAGGTAATAATTATTGTAAAACATAAATGTTGAACCTTATTGAAGTGTATTTTTAACTTAGGTCCGTCAAGTAGTTCAAATCATAATAGTACCAGTACTTCTAGTATTGTAAATCATACAAGCAGTAAGTACCAAAATAATTCAAAATAATTAAATTTAGTGGGAAAGATTAACTGATTATATATTTTTTTTATTAATACTTGCAGATTGTAATTCACATTATTCAAATTCGGTATTGTGCAACTCGTTATCAAATGTAACTGCATCTACTTCTGCGTCTGCGAACAATAGTACACATCAATCACCATATGATCTTCGTCGCAAGATGCCTGCTAATGGTCATGAGCATTGGTGTAACACCAGCACATCTGCTATTCTTTCATCTCCTCCTGCAATAGTTTCTACAGCCAGTAGCAGCAATATTGCAGCTCCAAACCCCAACAATAGCAGCTCGCAATCAGTTTCCTGTGGCTCACCGCCTCATCTGGGAGGAAGTTGCAACCCCGCTTCCATCTCTGTTATGCCATCATCATCATCCTCATCATCAGCAATTGTGCATACGCCATTAACTAGTGCCACTTTTCCTGTAAATTCAACTACTACCGGTGCACCATTAGGCCCATCGCCTACAGTGCACAGTTCAATACCACAACAGCATTGCAGTGATCTTCCGATTGGCGGAATTGAAGACAATAATTTTATGTTACCAGCTCGCAAACGATCACGACGTTTGTATGCACAAACTGCAGAAGTGCCCTGCATGGCTGCCTGTACAGGCAGCAGCATGCTAGCAGGTCCAACTGCAGCTCAATACTTACAATACGAAATGCCCGACGAAGTTCTGCTCGCAATATTTTCGTATCTTCTAGAGCAGGATTTGTGTCGGTTATCACTTGTTTGTAAACGTTTTAACACTATCGCTAACGATACTGAATTGTGGAAACGATTGTATCAGTCCGTGTTCGAATATGATATGCCACTATTTAATTCTGAACTATGTAAATTCGTCTTTGAAAAACCAGAAGAATCTGAGTTTACCAATCCATGGAAAGAGAGTTTCCGACAACTTTACCGTGGCGTACACGTTCGGGCAGGTTTTCAGGTATTAATATTTTTTTTGCAAATTTTCTCTTAAGATTGTTTATAATTTGTTAATTTTGTAACCTTACTTTTGTAGGATAAAAAGTACTCCGGCCGTAGTATATTATTCTTCAATACAATACAAGGAGCGTTGGACTATCCGGAAGAACGTGCCGCAGCTGCGGCCATCGCTAGTTCAAGCAGTTCAAATGCATCTGGAAGTATTGCTAATTCAAGCAATTGTGGTAGTAATGTTAGTGCAGTAGCGAACATGTATGAAGAAAATATACAACCCGCCGATCATCCGGGGCCACTTATCTTCCTACATGCTGGTCATTACAAAGGCGAGTATTTATATATAGAAACGGATGTAGCTTTGATTGGTGCAGCATCTGGAAATGTGGCCGAATCCGTCATATTAGAACGCGAAGCGGGTTCCACTATGATGTTTGTAGAAGGTGCCAAATATGCTTATGTTGGCTATTTGACGCTGAAGTTCTCTCCTGATGTCACATCCACGGTGTCTCATCATAAACATTATTGTTTGGATATTGGAGAGAATTGCTCACCAACAGTAGATAACTGCATTATACGCAGCTCATCGGTTGTGGGCGCAGCTGTTTGTGTTAGTGGTGTTTATGCTAATCCTGTCATACGCAATTGCGATATAAGCGATTGTGAGAACGTTGGTCTTTATGTAACGGACTACGCTCAAGGAACTTATGAGCACAATGAAATAAGTCGCAATGCTTTGGCCGGAATATGGGTGAAGAACTTTGCCAGTCCTATTATGCGCGAGAATCACATTCATCATGGGCGCGATGTAGGCATATTTACATTTGAAAATGGAATGGTGAGTATAAAATAGAATTGTGAACAAATGCACACAATCGAAGCTTTTCATACATAACTGAATTCCAGTCATTGTACATATAATATGTTACGCTTGTATAAAAATTTCACTAAACTCACAAAATTATTATAATGATATTTCATAAATACTTATCGAATTTCCTTAAAGGGTTACTTTGAGAAAAACGATATACATAATAATCGCATTGCGGGTTTTGAAGTCAAAGCAGGTGCAAACCCTACTGTAGTCAAATGTGAGATTCATCATGGGCAAACCGGCGGAATTTATGTGCACGAGAATGGTTTGGGGCAGTTTATTGAGAATCGCATACATTCAAATAATTTTGCAGGTAAACAAAATAATCTATGGGGGCATGGATCTTATATATCATTCATATAAATATGGTTTTATTTTAAATTAGGCGTCTGGATAACTTCAAATAGTAATCCCACTATACGCAAGAATGAAATATATAATGGACATCAAGGAGGTGTATACATATTTGGAGAAGGTCGTGGGCTCATCGAGCATAATAATATATATGGAAATGCTTTGGCTGGTATACAGATACGAACGAATAGTGATCCGATAGTGCGTCATAATAAAATCCATCACGGCCAACATGGGGGTATATATGTACATGAAAAGGGTCAAGGTCTTATTGAAGAAAACGAAGTGTATTCCAACACTCTGGCAGGTGTTTGGATAACAACAGGCAGTACTCCAGTTTTGCGCCGAAATCGCATACATTCTGGAAAACAGGTGAGTAAGCTAGTTTAGTAAATAGTGTATTACCATGCATGCCTTTTTAAATGGTAAACTATAATATGAATAATTTATACCATATAGCGTTAACCTCTAAATGATGAAATTTGCGGCAAATTTCCAGATATATATATGTTATCACATTTAATTAGATATATCGAAACAAGACAACAGATATATAGTTACTGTATTCGAATCGTCATTTCTATGTTCGTTCACTGTTGTCAAAAAAGTAGTCGTTCAATTTTTAAGATTTGGAAGCCATACATATTTAACGACCTAAGTCGAATCCTTGTGTGAACAACTTTTGTAGGGTTTCATAGCTACTTGGCAATCGAAGTTACGTTTTTTCTGTTCTCTTTCATTTTTAAAACTGAATACTTCAAATTTATTATAATACTAATGAATACAGATCAGGTTAAACAAAACACGGCGGCAAAATTGAAGTACTTCCGTTTATCCATGTATTCCATGTATAATCAGTGGAAATGTGAAAGAATATAGCTCAGAATACTAAATTTACTGTGTTGTCCTTTGGAACCTCGGCGGAATCGAAATCGGCTTAATTCATAACCTGTCTTGTTGTAGGTGGGTGTATATTTCTATGATAATGGTCATGGAAAACTTGAGGACAACGACATCTTCAATCACCTGTACTCGGGTGTACAAATACGTACTGGCAGCAATCCCGTTATACGTGGAAACAAAATTTGGGGTGGACAAAACGGTGGTGTATTAGTTTACAATGGTGGACTCGGTTTATTAGAGCAAAATGAAATATTTGATAATGCAATGGCTGGGGTGTGGATAAAAACTGATTCAAATCCGACATTGAAACGCAATAAGATATATGACGGACGCGATGGCGGTATTTGTATTTTTAATGGTGGCAAAGGTATCCTTGAAGAGAACGACATCTTCCGTAATACTCAGGCTGGTGTTCTCATCTCCACCCAATCTCATCCAATTCTGAGACGCAATCGTATTTACGATGGTCAAGCAGCTGGTGTCGAAATCACCAACAATGCAACTGCGACATTAGAGCATAATCAAATATTTAAAAATAAATTCGGTGGATTATGCCTAGCGAGCGGTGTTCAGCCCATTATACGCGGCAATAATATATTTAACAACGAAGACGAAGTCGAAAAGGCAGTCTCCGGAGGACAGTGTCTGTACAAAATTAGCAGTTATACATCATTTCCAATGCACGACTTCTATCGTTGTCAAACATGTAATACCACTGACCGCAATGCGATTTGTGTCAATTGTATTAAGAATTGTCACGCAGGCCATGATGTGGAGTTTATACGACATGACCGGTAAGTTCAAATGGAAAGCACTCAAATAGTTAGTGCTAACTTGTATGTATATATGTGTTTATTTATTATTGTAATTAATTGCAAACATTTAATTTTTAACTATTCAGCTTTTTTTGTGATTGCGGTGCTGGTACGCTTTCAAATCAGTGTCAGTTGCAAGGCGAACCCACTCAGGATACGGATACTCTCTATGATTCAGCTGCCCCGATGGAATCTCATACTCTTATGGTGAATTAATATCTTTCAACAATTAATAAATATCAATAATCTAATATAAATGAACTGGACTGAAAAAAATGAAGATTGATTCGAATTAACGATCTAGTAAGAGAGTATAAGAAAGTCGGATGCCATTTCTTGACTTTTAATCCAATAGGCCATTCGACCCTATTGACGTTGATTGAAAAAGCTAATATTCGAAAATGTTACAGGGTGTGCAGTCTTTTATGTCGGTATATAATCATTTAAAAAATATAGTATAGTATACCTTGATAATTGAGTTTTCGAGCCATGTTCTACTAACCTCAAATTTGTTGAGCTAGAGATTGAAGCTAATAGAGATATCGAATCGGATGGTTGGTATAGGTCAAGCAATCGTTCGAAGGGCTTATACAGGCTGATTTCTTGAAGGAAGTTGTGAGGAGCGATGTAACAGCTGCAAAAAGGGTTCTAGATATTGACTGGTCTCACCATTTGGTTGCGTTTTTAATTTCGAATTCCACTTTTTCATACTGACATAAAAGTTGGCGCACTCCGTATCCCTAAGTAATCCTGCTCGGTACGGTAGTATACATCTTTATATCGATTCAATGAGTGTCAATTGAATTAAATTTACAAACTTACTAATAATATGAAATAAGAACAATGAAGTTTAGTTAAGCAAAAACTCGAATCCCTTTTTTACGTGTTTCCTATATTGTTTCATACACCTTCTTGTGTTTAATAAATAGGCAATTAAATCAGTCGTAAAGGTAAACTCTTTTAAATATATTAAGTGCTCGTTTAATTTCACTAATTTTACATTTTGAGTATATTGATCGCCCATTTTGGAACGAGCCATCTTTTTTGGTGTATGTTTTCGTAAATATAAGAAACACTTAAGTATAGAATGTTTTCTAATTTAGTTACAATTTCATTGTACAAATTGTATAGATTGTATATTACAAGTAATGTAGAAACACTGGAAACAATTCCAACCTATATCTAAAAATTTAATCCGCGCTTTGGAAATCAAGGAATGTGCAATTAGAGACAATTAAGTGATCAATATTTAGGTTACTATAACGGTTATAATAGAAGTAATTCATATTCATCTTTGGTCCGGCATTCGTCTAGAGCAAAAACACACAATCAACTAGTTGTATATCCAAAACACACACTCACATGCATATTGTAACATTACGACAGCTTTCGTACACATTTGATAATTTATGATTAAAAAACTTGTCGATTGTTCTATTTAAAATTTTTAATATATACCTATACAATGCTTATATTTTTAATTGAAACATTTAGGCTATACAATATGAATTCTTAGACGACTATCAAAGCATTAAATGTATAATATTACATAAATCCAGTGAACTTTTCGCAAATTGTTTGCAAATACAACTTTTCGTAACAAAAAGAATGCCAACAATCTCTTAAAAGTAATAAGCATGTAAATTGACATCTCATGAAGGATACATCAAATACATACATATGTTTAGCAAAGAAAATGTCCGTTCATGCAATCAAATGTATGTACAATGATCTTACACTAGTTATTAAGTTATATAAGATATTTGTCTATATATTAACGGTATACGCATTATCGCACTACTTGCATTCAATATTACGTTTTTCATAGAAGAAAGGTGTTATTTTGTTTCATTTGAACCTCAGTTTCGTCCAGTAGATATCCACATATTTAATGTGTAGTAGATGTAGTGTATGTGAAGCAATTTCTAAGTATTACAATAATTTTCAATTTTGCGAAATCAAAAATTTTATACATTATATATACATATATATTATAGAACATATTGTATGGATATTCAAAACGCGGCTCTGCACAATTGTAACGAGTAAACATACTTATTTGCATATGCATAAATAAGCAATGAGCAATATAACGTTATTCCCGGGGCTTAGCAGCGTAAACGCTGTGTGCCAGAAAACTTTCAATGAAATTATAAATATTTTTTACTCTGCCCCAGCTATAGTTATAGTCAAAGTAATTAATTAAGAATACATATATGTATGTACGTGTGCCAGATAAGACACAATAATATTACCTTTGATATGTAATGAAAAGTGACTACATGTCTGTAATGTTATCATCACTATTTTTATATACACATTTTTTAATTGTTTGTATTTTTGTTGAAATGTTTTATAACTAAAAACACATTTTATGTGTATCCTTAAACATATGCCTTTCATTTGATTTTTCATACCGAATGTAAATTCTATATTAAAATGATTTATATGCTCCAGTGTGTCATTTAGGACTTAAGTAAAGTTAAATAGAGTAGTAGTAGAATAAGCTGATATGTATGAAAACGCCATTCTGTATCATAATTATACGTACAAAAATATCCAAAGGCTGCATGCATAATAGTTTCATACACCAAGAAAATCCCATATACATATGAACGTATGTATGTGATATGAACTTTTATCGAATCTGTGAACAACATCTTTGCTTGTAAACAAACTGTCTAAATATAGTAGTATTTCTTTCATTGGAAAGCTATCATTCGAAAGTGTGAGTTCCATAACAAAATACTATTCAAGGTAATAGATGTATTAGAAAAGGGACGGAGCCGTAGAGCAATTGTTGGGAGCAATACCACCATAACCACTGGCTTCAAATTTCCGCCGATTTAAAGTTTAAAAATATATAAATAGCTTCTCTACGTGAGGGCCATCGTCCGTAGCTATGGTAGACAGAAGTAATCTGCTTGTTAAGAGAAGTCAGTCGTATTTTCGCCAGAATAAGAGCGCCTGCCATAGTTTAAAAGGGTTTTAGATATTGTGAGACTGATCCTTGTTGCTGTTGTAATGACATAGAGTACATATTCTTCCAATATTTTTGGAGTTCTGGTAGCGTCGGGCTCACTTACATGAGAACGATGAGACTGATTCATTTGAGACGTAATGACTCATAGGAAACAAGTATAAACATGCTCATATTGTTTGTTTTTGTGTTTTTTTGTTTTTCCCCCTTAACTAATTTTCCTGCTTTTTTAGCGATATAATATTATACATTGTGTTAGTTTCTCATCTTTTGATATTTGCAAGAAAGGCGAAAGAGCTCTTTACTAGTATGTCCCGTTTACAAGAAATATATGAAATTCAATTAGATTTGGAAACCGACCTAGTTTGTTTTATACTGAAATATTCTTTCTCTTGCTATTGCGTGGAAGAAATGCTCTAATTGCAGTGCAAGATGATTAATTGTGATTAACATTGATAGGACGTGAAATAAAAAGTATGGCAACAGAGAAAAACTAATTTGGAAGAGCGAATTATCAACGAAGACAAAATCCTTTTACATTTTTGTCCCACGGAACAAATGCTCCTGTCAGTAGATTCAAATGGTGTCCTCAATAAATGACTGATCGGATCGAGGCATTATATTTTGGTAATGAAATGAGAGGAGTAAGCAATTGGTTTAGCAATGAATCACCGACAGTAACATTATAATTATATAAGTGTTTGAAGAAACAAATAACATACATATATAATATATTATATAAATATATATACATTTGTACGTAATTACGTATTAACTTTATGGAATATACATAGATATAATACTTTAACATTAAAGTTTACTTAAAACCAATGAAAAATGAGTTTTTTTTTCTAATAACATCATGGCTAGAAGTTACGAGAAAAGTTTCAAAAAAATTGAAATATGGCGAAAGAATTTTTTTCAAATAATATTTAATAAAAAATATCTACATTTCTTGGTATCATGGAATTTTAGCTTTGAGTCCGTAATTTTAATTCAGTTTGGACATTAGATTAGATAGAGAGACGAAGAATGCTCCGTGATCTTAGGCATATTGTGCCCTCTACTAAATCACCATCTCAGCATATTGATAAAGTCCAATATACTGTTGAGTGCTAGCGAAGCGATGTGATCCCTATTTGGAAACATGGAGAGCCTTCGACCTGCGTCTGCAGACTGCAATGCAATCAATTAGCAGGTGTTCTGTCGTTTCAGGCTCCCTGTAGAACCGGACATTAATTGCAATGCATGAATTATATTTCCGGTCATCGTACAAACGCAACGTCAATAAATAACAGTTGTGAGGATTGTGGATTTAATAAAAACGTTGACAAACAACATTTAAAGTTTTACGCAGATTACTGTTTACGAAAATTTTTTTATTTTTTTAAGTTTTAGTGTAAATCTGTTTCGTTATTGGAAATCTCGGCTTTGAAATATTTATTTTTAAAATTTTTATTTTTAACAGCTGGGATTGGATGCAATGAGTCTAATTTAATTTCAGTGTGTACATGTACACAAAACTTCCCTTTTTGTGCTCTGGCAACATTGCGGCAGAAAGAACTCAAAAACGTCAACACTATTCACTTTCGCAGCATAATTTTTCTCTGCATTCCATAAGTAATTTTAACTTGAAAATTCAAGGCTGAATATACTTGCATACATATCAGAACTAAAAAGTTAATTTGGTGGTACCAGGACGATTCTGGATTAATTTTGTAGTATAAAATTTGGACAAGTGTAGTGAGAGATATAGTTATACTGATAGGTGCAACAAAAACATAACTGTTGCAGCAGCACCAGCCATTCTATTTAGGCGGTACCAACATTACAATGGCCTACCTTCAACATAATGGCGACCTGATAAATTTGAATGTTGGAGGACAGCGGTAAAACTATGATTATCTGTTGGTTAAACTAACAATTGTCCAATAGAGACAAATTCAGTATACATTTGTTATTTGTTGTGTGTTAAACTTTATTTTTGTAATCTTCATGGTACATTGCAGATTTTCTACATCACGTCAAACGCTGACGTGGATACCAGATACATTTTTCACAGCGCTGCTAAGTGGACGCATATCTAGTTTACGCGATGAAACTGGTGCTATATTCATAGATCGTGATCCTTCGTTGTTCTCCATCATTCTGAACTATTTGCGAACCAAGGATATTGACATCAAAAATTGCGAAATCCGAGCATTACGACATGAATCGGAATACTATGGCATTACTCCGCTGGTCAAGCGGTTAGCGCTTTGTGAAGACTTGAATCATTCATCTTGTGGCGATGTACTCTTTTATGGTTATTTGCCAGCACCAATGATGCCATCAAATGATTCAATTCATACGGCAGTAACATCGACAGGTCCAGTCGTCCTGGAAGACCGTTCTGGTGGTGTTAGCGATTTACCTTCTTATAGATCTTCGAACGGCTCTTATAATATACCAGCCACATCAGGCCAGATGGAACCTTGCTTGCCGTCAACTTCAAGTGGCGTAATGTCCACTTCAATTGCTAATGCTCGTCCCGGTTCGATGGTTCGTGTTCCAGAAACAGCATCTACATCGAGTAGGCATTCGTCATCGCATTCACGGAACTCTTCTTGGGACTTGCGTTGCGCACGACCAAACGTCAATGTCGGCGGGGAAGTTCGAAATTGGGGTCCTGCAGTTCCATCGTCTACCCACTCGCGTACCGCATCTCTTGATTATATGCGTCATTCTAGAAATTCATCTGCCGACCTCAATAAGATAATACGGAATGATGTAGGCCTAGTATTCAGCCCAACATTGACATCAAACTGGGTCGATCCACTACGTGTTCAAATAATTAAGGCTCATCAAAACTGGATTGCAGTAGCATATGCCCATTTCGTAACTTGTTATCGTGTTAAGGACTCCAGTGGGTGGCAAATAGTGTTCACTTCGCCTCATATCGATGCAACCATCGAACGTATGGCGGTCAACTCAAAAGTGAATACATCCACAGCTGAACCTACTCCGAGCAAGATGGTAGCCATATCCTATGGTAGTCAAATACGACTTTGGAGCATACATGAGGGAGGCAATAAAACCGATGTCGGAACTTTCAATTTAAATGTACGAGTTGAGTATTTATTTTTCATCGGCAGCCAATTAGTTGCTTTGTCATCGTCTGGTAAAATCGGCGTTTGGCACGCGATGACACAACATTGGCAAATTCAGGATTTGGTTCCAGTGTTGTCTTTTGACTCGGCTGGATCATTTTTACTTCTTGGCTGTAACAACGGTTCAATTTATTATATAGGTACTTTGTTTGGATTGGATAAGTATACTACATGCATTTCAGAAACACTCCCTTAATTATAAACACTTTGTTTACTCTCAGATATGCAAAAGTTTCCACTTCGTATGAAGGATAATGACTTATTGGTGACTGAGCTGTATAAGGATCCAAACTTGGACCCAATTACAGCAATTTCCGTATATCTTACTCCAAAAACGTCCAGTGAGTGATTAAATTGCGTATCAAGACAGAACGTTATAATATTCACAATTTATGCTGTTTTAGGTATAAGTGGAAATTGGATAGAGATAGCATATGGAACGAAATCGGGTGCAGTGCGTATTATTGTACAACACCCGGAGACTGCTGGTCACGGTCCACATTTATTTGAAACCTTTACTGTACATCAAAGTCCCGTAACTAAGGTATGCGTTTCATAATTGGATTGTACTGAGTTATGTTCACAGAAGTTGTTCACAGGTTACCCTCTCGGAGAAATATCTAATATCCGTTTGCAGTGAATATCATCACGTACGCACTTGGTCCTTAACACGTTTCCGTGGCATGCTGTCTACACAACCTGGATCGACACCAGAGGCCTCCTTTAAAATTGTATCACTCGAAGCTACCGATTCACATTACAGTTATGCAGCTGGCAACGATTTTGGTCCCTACGGCGACTATGATGAACAGATCTTTGTACAAAAAGTTGTACCCGAAACGGATCAACTTTATGTACGTTTAGCTTCAAATGGTGATCGTGTTTGCATTATAAAATCGGTGGATAGTTCAACTATCACTTCTTTCTGTGTGCACGAGTGTGAAGTCTCGTCTCGTATGGGGTCACGATTCATTTTGACAGGGCACTGTAATGGTGTTATTCAAATGTGGGATCTAACAACAGCGCTGGCGTTATTTTCAAAAGGTGAACCACAGCAGAATACCTTTGGCGGACCAGGCACACACGAGCTTCTCCGCCTACTTGACCAATGTGAAATCAGCAATAGCCTCAGCTCAACACCTTGTATGTCACCGTGTCTATCGGTGGTTGGAGGCATGGCAAACGCCGCAATAGCTCGTATGAAGGCGAGCAATGTAGCTCTGCTTAATCAGCTCCACAATCAGCATCAACAAACACCACTACAACAACAGCCCCAAGCTCAATCACAGCAACCTACCTGCAATTTGACTGCGCAACTTTTGCCGCTACAGCATCAAACACAGCAACAACAACAGTCACAACAAATACAGCCACAGCAACAGCAATATTCTCCTCCACTACAGCCAGTATCGCAAGGCATTAGTAACACCGCTGATTGAAATGGGGAAGACGCGTGTATTTTGCCAGCAGTGGCTATTGCTGTTGCACAGGTAGCGTTGGTTGGACGTGCCACATCCTTCCTAATGTTTATACTAGTAATAGAGTATGTTCTCAAATTGTTGAAAATAATGCTCTGCTCGATTATATATAATATGTTTGCTTGTTACGTTATATTGCAGCAGCAACTGGGCAACGACGTCGGAAAGGTGGAGATACGCTATAAATTTGGGGCGCCTTTCCTCAATATTTTAAAATGATTATATTTATATTTTGTTGAAGTGATTTTTAAAGGTGATCATTCATAAAATATCCTTAGGCAAATGCATTCTATTCGTTTACGAAGCTTTTGTCTGAATATGTATATCGAAATATACGCATACAATTACCAAATTTTTATATATGTTACTTTCTTACATTTAAATATAAGCATGCTCATCATATACAAAATAAAATTGGATATACAATTGTAAACATTAAAAATGTATAAATAAACTTTTAGACCGAAAGCACCTTTTTGTTATCGAGTACTTGATTTCATGTTGCAAATTTCCCCAAATATTATTAAGCAACCCCCATTCCTCCAATATTTTCGGGGACCTTGAATTTGACGTTCATTCGTACCGGTTTCAATCAAATCTTAATGTTGGTGCCTGTGCGTTTATTTCAGATATTTCTTCGCGTGACGCGCTGTTTCGAGAAATTATTTTTCATAAAATAATGTTTTTTTCCAAGTATAAACACGTTTTATTAACTATACAAATTAAATATATTAATTTGCACAAATACTAAAGGAAACAAAACAATAAACAATACAAAAGTATAAAAGAACAGACATTTCTTAAAAATGATACGAATAATAAATTGTGCTATAAACTCAAGTATTACATTGGTAAGCCGCTCTTAAATACACAAATTATTAAATGCGAATGTTTAAAACATTCAATTGAAGTCGCATTATTTGCAATAATTGTACTAAACTAATTTGTTTAGATCTTAATATTAATCACACCTTGCCTTGTCGCTCGGCGATTGGCGTACCGTATTACCGTTGCAATTTATTTCACATTTTGGCTGTTGTTATATTTATGCTACAGATATATTGAAATATACCTTTGTATTAAATGTGACACGTAATGATTTTTACAATATTTAATTTGTCTATGAAGAAATAATAACATACATATGCACATATGTATATAAAGCCATATTTTAATGATTTACATATATCTTAATATGCTTCTGTAGCCGTGTGCAAGAGTGGAAATATTAAAAATATATTTTTTATATGCACATATTGTCAGGTTGTGCTTCAGCTCAAGATTACGCCGATGGACGTATGACATGATATTTAACGCACATACAAGCGTCTGAGTTTATATCAATATAATTTGGAAATGCGCAAAGTTTGATTTATTTGTTGTTGAATGCTAGAAGAGGGTTCTTCCTCGTCGTCTTTTAAAGGAGTATAAAAAATTTAAAGACAGTGGCGTCATACTCAATGATATGTACTGCTGGCATTTACTCGCACTAAAATAACAAATAAATGTGTCAAATGCAAAGTGCAGTGGCATCAGCTTTGCTGTTACATCTACTTCGAAGATCTTAGTGCGTTCGTGTTGTATGGAAGCACTCCCATATAATCGTAACAAAGTATAATAATAAAAATTACAACATATTTATTTGTTACTACCAAATATTTGCTCTCAGCTCAAGTAATCCCTAATTAAAATATTAAACTTGAAAGTAATCATCGACTATTACATCTGTGGAATTCAGTTCACTGGTACTTTGCACTTTTGCTGATGGTCTCTCATGTCCTGTTTTTGGCGTAAGCCCATTCGCTGTTGACTTTAACAACACTGTCTTTTCAGAGTTTGTTGTTGTTGTTGATGAGGCGCTTGCACTGCCGACATCGATTATTCCTGCAGTGGCATTGTGTGTTCGTGTACGCAGCTCGTCTGGCGTCAGGGGACTACTGCTGCTCAGCTGTGTATCGGAATATTCGGTCTGTAGCCTCTCGTATGGGTTTTCATTTTCTGTATTTGTATAGCAGACGGTTTCGTAATTTGGATCTGCTTCGCTGCCAGTAAGTGATTCATATTGCGAAGATGTCGATGGAGTTTGTCGTGAACTCATCGTGCTGGCTGTGCTGCCACTACCGCTGCCGGTTAGCACGTTGGTGGATGACAAAGTGGAGCTGTTGGCTAGCAATGAGGATGAGTTGACCGATGTAGGTGAGGTGATCGCTAGAGTATCATGTGTGCCACTAGAAATAACACTCACGCTTTGAGCAAGTGTTCCCGTTGGCGAATGCAGGTTATTACTGAGTGGCAGTTCAGACGCTGATTGCGGTATTCGCGGTGCTTCAGCAATGCGAGCATAGTGATCGGAATCTTCGGTATCTGGGGTGGCGCCAATTATTTCTGCTTTCGATTCGGCGATGCTGGCATAGTTGTGATTGGCATCGGTTGCAATTATGCTGTAACCACCTGTGGCTCCTTCTTCGTTTTCTTCACCTTTAACTTTGCTATAGCCATCTGTAGAATCTTCATCGACAGCCAAGGACTTTCTCTCGTTAATTTTAGCATAGCCGTCATCGGAGAGACCAGTAGACTTCGGTCCTTCAAGCACTTCGTAATTGGGATCATAGTCAGAAAATTTCTTACCGTTATCTATTTCGGAATGATTTAGTTTAGCCGGCTTCTGTAAGGTTTCATAGCCGGGATCACTGTTGTTCGTTGTATCAAGCGGCACGGCAATAGTCTCATAATGTTTGTCACTACTTAGGTCTGACTCTATCGGTGGTTTTATTTTTGCTGAAGGCGGATTTGTTAATTGCACTAAAATAATCAAATAAAAGATAATTAAATATTTATCTGGTTATTAGTTACTTATAACAAAAGGATCCAGTGCAAAAGAACATGCAAACCTCGCTATTTGCTACACCATTTGTTATCGAAATCGTTTTAATAGAGTAAAAAGTAATGGTGTGTATAAGTATATGGCTATGTTGCATTATATATATATATATATGTATGTTTGTATGGCCTCATATATGTGGTCCTACATAGTGTCATATCTCCATATGTATATCTATGTTATATATCGTATTAAATTTGTCATTTTTATTTATAATTAAGTGTAATTAATTCTTATATTATGTTTTTAATTGAATATCTATAAAATTATTTTATATTGTAAGAGTCGAAAAGTGACTTGGGTGTGAGTGATAGTAAAGAAAGAAGAAAGTCAGGGCTTTTTGTGAATGTACAAAGAAGCAAATTCTAAAATTTGACAGTTGGGTAAAAGTGTTATTGTTAAAAGCATGCAAATTTCATGATCACAAAAAAAGGTTATGAAAGATTATCGGAAATAATCTGGGATTAGTAACTACCGTTTATATACTAACCGCTGCTTCCAAATAAAAATTGCTGAATTTTTCGTTGACTTAAAAGTAAAACTGCTGAAATATCTCATTTACGCGCAACTAAAGGGATATTTTGATATTTTTTCAGTTTTGGAAATTTTATATAGTTTCATAGCGAGTTGGAGGGAGTAGGAGGAGAGAGAGAAGGAAATAATTAAATCAATTGTACATCGAAATAGAATGTACATAACATACGTCAAATCTTTCTCATTTATGTACACAAACAATGCGCTATAATAGACTGCAAGCTACTTACACATCTCTTTTGGTCGTTCTTTATGCAATATACTGCTATAACAATCCGATTTACGATTTTCTAAAGCTGATGATCGATGTAATCCATCCGCAGGTATTGTTTCATACCCATGATCCTTGGCACCATAACTGTTGCTGCGGATGCGACTTTTATCGACGGAGGCATTTTGAATCGAAAATACATTAGCACGATTCAATTCCATTAGCTCTGCTGCAGCCATGTCTAGTGGACTAATTTCGAGGAGATCACCACTTTTGCGGGCCATTACAGGAGAGCTGTTTTGAGAGGAAGTTGAGTGATGCGACAATTTGTTCTTCTTCATCACCTGAAATTGAGTTAAATTTATAAAACAAATTGACAACACGACACTAATTCAAAATTGACTAATTTGGACTGTAGTAAATTTGGTGCCAACCTTAGCGTACATTCCTTCGATGTCTTTGGACGGACTTAGACTTTTGGTTTTATTTTTTTGCGGTGAGCTGTCGACTGCATTAGTTGATGCGGTTGAAGCGGGGACTGCTGTATTCGACACCGCTGTTAAAATTCCACTTAAATTTAATTCTCCAGTACCGCCGCTACATTCAATGACAGATATAACCGAACTTCGACCCGAGGTAATGTTCGATTTGGGAGTTGGTGGTAGCGGAGAGTTGGCTTGGCGTTTTTCTGGTTTTGGTGAACCTAATGTACAGATCGAAGAACTGTTGTTTGATGACGAGGACGCCTGTCTGGAGTGCTTTTGTGTGCGTAAGCTGTCTATAGGTGGTGGTATCGGGGTAACGTGTTCAGAAATAGGCCTAGAATGACTCTGACTACCAAATGTGGTTTGTTGATTATGGTGGTTTGATGCGGACGCTACAATCGCTGTATTATCTGTTGATTGTGCATTGTTAGCAAGCGCCTTATTAGAAATCGGATTTGTGTTATTGCTAATGTTATTGATTTCCACTGATACCACCATAGAGTTAGTTTGCATGGGCTGGATTTGTGCGTACGTCTCCGAGCCGCTTGTGTAAATGTCAGTCAGGACATTTGGATTGCTGCGAATATTCGGATCTTCGATTGCAGCATAAGTTTCATCTGCACATGGAAATAATACAAATTAAGTAATAACATTTGTGTACATTTAAACATTTAACAAAACACTTTATCTTACCTGAATCGTCAGACACAGTCGCATAGTGCGAATCATTTGTTTCACGGGTCAAAGCTGCTACTCGCTGCGATTGTTTCGGAGGTTGCTGAGCTAGAATATTGGCTAGAGGCTCTCGAACGCTAATACTAGTGTAACCTTCTAGAGAAAACCGTTATTTTTAAAATACAGTGCTTTAAAGTATAAGAATGGATTTTACTTGAAGAATCTTGGGAATCACCACTAAAGTGTTGACCTATTATGGGCGGTGTCATATAAGGAAGATCTTGACTCGCTGAGATCATGCCTGCGATAGCCGAGGCAGCGGGAATTTCAGCGTGCGATATTGAATCGTTAAGATTTTGTGAAGCACTGCTGTGATTTGAGTTACGCGAAACTGTGCCATTTAGCTGAGGAGGCTGACTACTGTGAATGGAGTTATTATTACTATTACCAGCAGCTACTATGGCAGCTGCAGCGGCTGCTGCGGAAGTTGACGGAGGGTTTACCTGCGCATAGGGGTGTTCCGCATTGCGCACCTTCAACATAGATTTAGAGTAAATACATAATTATGGTTTGTAAATATTAAATGTTAAATTGAAGGGAATATTTCGGAAAACAACTCTTACTTTAGCATAGTCATGGGGTGGATTCCTAACCCTTGAATAGGGTGAACTAATGTCATCTGCTTGGCTTATGGAACTGTGTTGAGACACGCTTATTTGTTTCTTCAAACTCGGTGCAGCTGAAATTATGAAATTTCCCGTAAATAATTATAGTATATCACAATTATAAATATTATAACTATCATATGTGATAATTAGTACAATTAAATGATTTTGCAATCATCCATTAGACTTACGACTATGGTTTTGGTCGTTTTCCTCAACCAAATGATTCTTATCCGCCACAGTCTCATAGAGTTCGGATCCGTTATCGCCATTACCTTCTACTATTGGTATATCTGGTAGACTTCGATGAGCTGCAGTACTTGCTCTGGTAAATAAGCGAACACATTCTAGATTTTTTTTATAAATTGCTTCTATATAATTACCGTTTTTCTGAATCGGTGGTTGAAACAGCAGAAGTATTTAAGTCCGTTTGCGATTCACTACTTGCTAACACCTTAACTTCGATTATGTCATCTGGGTTAGTCATTTTGACCATTCCTTCTAATCCTCCCAGTTCGTCCCTAAAATAAAAAGTATGTTCACTTTAATTAAAAAATGCTATAATAATAAATTACAATTTATTGTTGCAAGAACATTAAAAGTGTCATTATAGGATTGGTGGCTACACATATACATACACATTTATTCATGCAATGTAAAGGTAAGCCCTGCGTTGCACTTTATTTGTTGACGTAGTCATTGTAGCTACATTCTATGAGAAATTATGTGAATATATACATATGTATGTATGTATACAATATCGACGCATTATTGTTGTTTGTGTTCCTAAGCTTCAAATTCCAATTAGCACACGGATATCTCAAACAGGAAGGTTTCTTTAAAACAAAATCTACTACTACATTGGTCAATTCGACTTACTTTGTAGGTTGTCGCCTGCACCAGAGACACGCCGCCATTAGCACCATTGCCGTCAATGTTACGTTCACTGTTAGCACAATAGCGTAGTAAAACGCTGCGTCTCCAGTACTTTCCCTCGACTTCATTGTGGCCAAAGGGGTTTGCTGCCGTTTACAAATATTCTTCACAGTGATTCCTTTGCGCTTTTAGGCTAATTTTGATTATATTAATATGTTTTTTTTGGATTTTTACTACATTTGAAATTGTTTGCACTAATACTTATCGTAATGCACACTCAATAAGTGACTTGATGCACCTTTCACTCATGAATAAAAATATAAATACTTCGTATGCGTTGAATTTGTTTTTTATTGTCTGCACTGTTTTTTAGATGCAGATGACTTACATTTTTTATTGCACGATTTCGAACCGTTCTTTGGTTGAAAGTACATTTTTAGTTTTGTGGAATCGGTTTTATTACCCAAAAACTAAAGCAAACAAATTTTTTCAACCAACTTTAATATTTTGCACACGCACACACCCGAAGCTCGACGCTGACAGAATCGCATTTGCGTCGACGTCGTTGTTTGTCAAAACAAAGTGGCTGTCATGTTTTCTTTTATGTTGCCACGTTTTTAAAAAGTAATGAGATATTTCTTAAACAAACAAGGTAATTGTTCCTTCAAATAAATTATGATGCAATATATTGTAATGATGTTCATTGCCGTGTTATATTAGAAACCTTTAAAAAATATCTACCTAATATTCACCAAATGTGAATACTAACTTTTTAACATTCAAAGTGGAACGGCCAACTTTCCAGTTTCCAGTTTCAAATCGAAGTCTCTATAAGTTGAAGATACATTAAGATATACGCGTTGTTCATTGAAATAGCTAACTAACTCCCTGTAATTAAGTTTTGATTAATTCGGGACTTATTTCATTTTTATAGTGAGTAACGGTACATATTTGTTCCTTGACTAAACTAGTAGCAACATCTATGATGCTGTAGTGGCAACCGTAGTGGTACCAGTTTTGATGACATCCCTAAAATGGTGGCCCCTCAAAATTTTGAACCGAATTGATTTTATTAGAAGCTCTTGCAGCACAGAACTTTCCTTCGAGGTTTGCTATTGCTCTCCATTTCTATATTGATAGGAGTAGATATGGAATATAGGTCCTACACCCAAGTCTACCTACAAACGCTTATCAACACACTAATTTTTATATATCCATATATTTTAATAACGTTTCCTTGGAATTAAAATAAATTATTCGATTCGCGGCTTCTCAGTTCGCAATGTTTCTTGAGCTTCGGACTTTTGTCTAAAAATGTATAATATAGGATAAAGAAACGTTTGATATTCTATCACGAAGTCAAGATCCATGATTATGCCAGTTTATGAAATATGTACATATGTATATACGTAAATACCAGCCCTATTCACGATGGCGATTACTGCTTTAAGGCGGTTGTATGTTATCTTTCTGCTTTCAAATGGAACTGAAATCTATATAAGCATAGTAGAGAGAACGTGAAAATTGTACTTGTTTAAGTTATGCTCTTTTTCAATTTATGCATTTGAAAAGTTTTATTTTTGGGAATGGCTAAAATTAGAAGGTGGGTTTCTCAACGCTCAGAAATTGCCCTTTGAGAGAAAAAGCGCCAGTTGTGTTTCTATGTTTGATTGGAAGTGCATGCGAATTTTCCGGAAAATTTCGAGTGTTGCGATTTACATACATATAGTACCTACATATACATAAACAAACAATTGTATCGCAATCAGAATGCTTAAATAAGTTATAGAAACAAGTGAATTCGTTTGAAATTTCAGACGATTAGTGTACAAAAAGTATCATTGTATTTGGTTCAGAACTAAATCCTCCAGAAATAATGGCAACGGTGGAGAAACAATCGTCGGAAAAGCATGAGGGCGATGTCACTTGCTTGGCATACTATAACGGCCAGCTGTTCTCTGGCGGCGCCGATGGAAAAATCAAAGTTAGTACAATGCTTAATTAGTGGCATTGCAAATGAAATGCAATAACCAACAAAATATGTACAAATACTAAAGTCCCATATGTCAAATTCATGGGAACATACGCAATGCTGTTGTAGACTTCGTTAATGTAATTCCAATGAATGTTTACATTTACAGATTTGGGATAATGATTTGAATCTAATTAAATCCTTGGATGCGCATGACAGTTACATATACGCGATGGCAATAAATTCGAATAACGGCAAACTATACTCCAGCAGCTGTGATGGTTGTGTGAAATTTATGGCACCGCCCTACGACCGAACGGAGCAGCTTTTCTGCTGCGAGGATGTCATCCAAGCGATGTACTGTGACGGTGATATTTTGTATACAGGTGATGAGAAGGGGGTAGTTACGAACTGGATAGATGATAAAATCAAATTCAAATATAATCTGGTTGAAGAGGTGAAGTCGCTGGGCGCTGAGAAATCGCTTATATATACAGTTCGAGATTTGGACGTGGTGGTGTCGGACATGATTGCTGGCAAATCGGGCAAATACAGCAACAAGGCAGTGTTGCCGGGCAAATCGCCGTTGGCGTTAGTTGGTCCTGTGATCGATGATAAACGAACTTTCCTTGTGTTTGCCGATCGTAGTGGGAAAGGATTGTCTCTCGTGAAGAATCTGCCACAACAAAAATTCGAAAGTGTTTGGAATTTAACGGTAAGTAATAATAAGATGTGATAAGGTAGAAGGCAAGAAAAACTCTTCCAACAACTTCCTTCATGGTTGAAGAAGACCCAAACAAGATGTTCTGCAGAGTGGTGTGCTTTCTCATTTACGTGTAATTTCTATGTTTTGAAACTACCACTATTATCAGATGGGGTATTTTCACTCTATTTGTTGATGTTTATACGATTTCTTATCCTTAACTGCAAAATTCAAAAATTATTGAAATACAGAACATACACATGTACATTTTGCGGGCAAAGACCGACTAAACTCTAACCTCCTAATCTATCACAGAGTTCTATGATCCTACCCCGTCAAAATCGTGCATTTTCCGGGTCATTTGCTTTACGTCTTCTTGCAAAAATGAAGAAAAAAGCTCATCGATTTCCAGCTCCAATATGAATTGTGTTCTATATTTTCAGAATTGCCACGAGTTGATCATTCAAGCGATCTGCGGAGACGAGAACACCGTCTTTAGTGGCGGCTATGACAACAAGGTAAAAGGTTGGACCAATTTGGAACAGACGGTACCCACACCTCTTGGCGAAGTAGAGGTCGGCAGTTGTGTGAATGCGCTGGTGTGTAGCGGGGAAAAACGGGTTTACATTGGAGCATCAGATGGTTTTGTGCGAAGAGCCAAATTTGTTTAGTTTTAATAATAAGTTAACATATGAAAAATGGTCAACTGCTGTTCTATGATTCACATTGGACAAAAAATTTTACATTAAAATTAAATTTTATAAACGAACTTAGTCTCCGTATTTTGCAGGTTTGCTAAAAAAACAAGTTGTTTTCGTTCAAAATATTTTTTATTAGCTGCTCTTGGGTTGTTTTGCAAAAATTTATGTTTTAACAAGTTGCAACATTTTCCATTTTTCTTGTACTTTACAAAATGTCTGTTGCTAATTGAGTTCATAAGCAATATATTAACCAAAGTTTACAGTTTCTATCAGCATAGCTCTTTCAATCACCATTCATATAAGCTTGTCCATATATTGAAATTTCCATATTATATTTTCATAAATTAAATCTATAAATATCACAACAGGTAGTGTGCACTTAAAAATGTAGTTCAAACCGAAATAAAACATTTAAAATTGTCTGTATGTTTTACGTTGTAATGAGATTTCCAGCTGTACGACTGCGAATTTCGCATTTATTAATTTAAGTTTATGTTAAGTCAATATCAGGTTACTATAATTTGTGCCAAGGATTGAAAACGTAAGATGGCTAAGTTATTCTTCGTCTAATGCGCGAATTTATAATTTTTGCTTACGCCGTTGTTTGCTAGTAAAACACATACGCATACACACTTAATCAAATTAAAGTATTAACTATAACCTCATCAGTATTTTTTTGCCATTTTGAGGATTGTCTTTAGCTTGATTTTTTAATATTCTCGTCGCTTGCGTATCTAATGTTTTCTAGGTTAAGCAAGCTTACTCATAACTTAAATTTACATGAATATACAATTTAGTTACGCAATCGATAACGTTTCTGCTCTGCCGCAATCACTAAATACTGTAATTTGCTCAGTTATTGATATAAATAATTGTTTGGTCTATCTGATGGTATTTATTTATATAGTAGATATATCGAAACACATGTAAATAGTAATATTTCTAACACATCCACTTAAATATTAAATATTTGTATGCAACTTTGGTTTTGCAATATGCCATCAACTCATTGCGGTACATTTAATACTTTATTTTGTAACTCTGTAATACATTTAATATTTAACTACCACCATTCTGCAGATCTACTTCTTTCTTGTACAATTCCCACGACCTGTGCACAAATCCCTGCGGTGAAGGAACGAACTAGTTAGGAAAAATGCGAATCGAAAATGAACTGGTTCGAGGACAACGGATTTTTGCAATTATAAAACCATTTATAAACGCAAATACTGTTATAATGTTATAATTTCTTGACATTAACGATTTAATACGATTAAATATACGTAAAGTAAAATTAAATAAAACTTCAAGCCGTCAAAATTAGTACTGGTAGTGTAAGTCAACTATTTAAAAAATTCCAGTTGCTTGTACGATACTAGATGCTTCATTGCCTAATAGGGCGTGTGGTTCTTGCTTGACAGTTATATAGTTACCAAATAGTTTATTTCACTGCAGGGATCCTAAATAATTTTTGTGCGTAGGTAAGAGGGATTACAAAATACCCGTATTTGCCAGTAACTCCAAAGCGCTTCGCCACTCAGTTGGCTGTCACCCATCTACTCCGTCAATCGGCAGTTACACAAGAATAGTAGAACCTTCTTCTTTACTGGCGTAGACACCGCTTATGCGGTTATAGTCGATGCCGCGCAACAGCCTCTTTTGTAGAAAACTTGGGAGTATATTGCATAAGTTGCGTAATGGCTCTTACCGCATGGAAACCTTTGAAAATCTAAGAAATGTCGAAGGAGGCAGTTATTTGAGAATATAGTGGGAACCCCCTTTATTCTATATTCAGGCGAAAGCAGCTAAGTATCCACTTTGTAGCTTTGGTTTTGCTAAACGAATAAGGGACGCACATTAACTCGGTCAATCCATATACCCTCACCTTTCCTTTGCAGATCTATGGCTCATTAGACCTAACCTAATTTTCTATTTCCATAAATATCAAATAAATTATATTTTTATAACTAAACTCATACTCATAATGCATATTACATACGATATTTGAACAAGATCCGCTTGGATAGTTTATACAAGTATTGCTTTTTGACTACATATCTATTTAACTAGCACATCTGATAACTACGTATGGTATGTACATCAATTTAACACATACTATACATATGCGCATTTGAATACTTAATTCAAAATTTATCTTTGACTAAGTATTATGAGGTGATGCTATCTACGCATGCAATCGCACATGTTTGCTCAAGTTCAAATACATTATTATAATTAGCTAAATATATTTAAGTACATACTTTTTCAACGTCCATTGGTATACTCTGCAGTATGTATGAATGTGTGGCTCATTCGGGCTTACTTAGAATTTTACATATTGATGTTTTCGCTAACTTTAACTTACAAATTCATATCACATAAACTGTTTGAAGTGCTCTCGTTTGCTGAGTAAGGTAGAGAGTAGCACGAGCTGCTGATATTACACTACAAATGTTCCATGGTACACATGCTGCTATGCCTGTGTGCATGCGGTGTATCATGGACGAGGAACACAAACTTACTTCCCACATGGGCATACTACACGTAGTAGGCGTCGTAGGGGTTGCGCTTGCGCAAACATGGAATCATACATTCCAGTGTATTACGGAACGCTTCGCGAAAGTCCCGGTTGAAATAGGCGTAGATCAGAGGGTTCAGTGTGGAGTTGAAGTAGCCAATCCAGAAGAGCACCACGACGACCACATCCGGGCAAGGGCAGGCCGCACCGCACAGGGAAGTTATTACATACCTTCAAAGGAGCAAAACAAAATGGCAAATGGGAAATATATTTATACAGTATATTGTATAACGATTCATGTTATTGTAAAAAGTTAAAGATACATAAATGGGTTACTGCTGCCGAATTATTTATATTGTTAAATCGTCAATTACGGTTCTACTCACCACAGAAAGAAAGGCAGCCAGCAAAGCAGGAATACACCCATTATGATACCCAAGGTCCGAGCAGCTTTGTGTTCAGCTTTCCAGCCTTTCGTCGGCCTCACCGAGCCACCTAGAAAGCACGAAAATTTCATCCATGTAAATCCAAGCACACTTCTAAGCAAAAGTTATTCGAAATAAAATGTGTAGACACGCGCATTCGTACATACAATATATTTAGTATTTTTTAGTGTAGTGCAACAAAAGATATTAAAGTTTGCGAAACGTATAGTCAGCTACATATGTACATTCTAGATTAGAGGAAACAACTTCAAGCAAGCATTCAAGCAAGATTTCTGGTGTTGAAAATGGGCTATGAAAGATAAGATATGTAGTGATATATACTCGTATGTGGTATATGTGCTATGTACGAGGTATTAACGAAGAGAAATGTAAGTGAGTATTTACAATGGAATTGATAACGGTAAATGCCTTTTTGAGGAAATTAGTAACAGTAAACATGAACAGATAAGATCATTGCGAACAATTACAAGCGAGCGAGAGAGTTAGAAACGGACGGAAAGAGCAAAGCACTCATTAAGTTTACCAAAATTTAGACCCGTGTAAAAATATAAATTTAGTCGTTATATAAGTACATATTTTGAGAAGAACCTGATTACCGTATGTGCATTTATCCCTTTACATTTCATAACTGATGGGATTATGTGTCACATTTTTCTTACTTTTCGTCAAATAAATTTTAATGCCATTTTAACTCTTAAAGCTCCGATTTCACAAATTCTTATTAATTCCATTTCAATTATTTTAAACAAATGTCCAAAGATGTTTGGTTAAGTTCTGGTTAAAAGAAGCTTCTCTACCGAAAAAGGAGTAGTGGTTAAGTTAACCAGAACTTAACTAATATATGCTAACCAGACATATAGAAAACGGCCCTAAATATGTTCGTATATAGAAATCGCCTGCTCATTCTTTAAAATTTGACACTTCTTGAAAAGGTCACTATTATCTTCCGGACTCTTTCGAGATAATCATATTTTATTTGAAGGGAATTTGATTTGTAAGATTTGCTATCGGCTCCAAATCGTTAATGAAAGAACATGCAACTTTTTTTTCTAAAGTGGAGTTCGACTGGTGATCAGACAATACGAAATCCCACACAGGAAACGGCATTGATATATGCAAAATAGTTTAAAACTGAATACTTTTTAGAAAAAAAATATTTATACATATAAATAAAAAATTATGTAACTAATTTTATGAAATTATTTCATATCTAACATCTATTAGAGAAGGCGCTACATATGAGAAACACTTATAAGTACATTAAGACGAAAAGGAGTAAGAATACCGGTTGGTGTATCTCATAATTAACCGAACTTCATATTTCAATCATTCAATTCTAGTGCGACATTAAAAAGTGACATTTATCCTCTTCAAATTCAACTAACTTCATATAAATCGGCTGACAGAAACATTTTACTACTAGAATATAGGCTGAAGGATAAATACGAGTGAAATCTAGAGAAAATTAAGGGATTTCTCTCATTATCCTCCGTACACGCCTGATCTTTCACCATGTGGCTACCCAAAATGAAAGAAGTATTTTATGATTGCCATTCAAGCAGTCGTAGACAAAGTGCTGATAGAATGTTCTTATAAATGACAAGGAAAAAAAACATATTTATGCGCTGGTAGGTCAATCCAATGGAAATGCTTTCAAAAGGTTCAGTAATTTTTGAGTAAAATTTACATATTTTGTTAGAAACATTATAGAAAAAAGATATAAATAAGTTCCTAAAACACCTAAATCCAATGATCGATATATTATATATTGTTTAAATATAATTACATTATAACATAAATAGATTTTCAAAAAGTAAGGAAGGACTAAGTTCCGATGCAACCGAACATTTTATACTCTTGCAACTTTTAGGAATCAATCTCGTATCTTCATACTGATAATTTATATATGTATGTAACTCCATATGTCTCTCTATTAGTTTTAGTTGATACGTAACTATTATACTCTGTAGCAACATGTTGAAAGAGTATAAAAATGTGACTCATATTTATAGCAACGGTATTAAACGTTCATTGAGGGTACATTTATGGTTTCCTTTTATGAAAAGTCGGATTTTTCAAAGTTGCTGTTGTTCATGACTCACGTATTTCCACAGTTTCAATAGTGCTGCACCGGTACCCATCGTCGGATTTATGAGGACTTTTTTTAAAACGTACTTGTATATCTAAGTTACCTGCGAGTATATACGTGCATAGGCATAAGAATTTATTTACTTGTTTATATGGAAATACTTACTTATGTATACATAATACAACAATATTACATATATATATTTATATTGTTTGCAATATAATTGGTGCAATGAACACATATATTAGGTGCTTCTCAGAGCTAAATATATGCAGTCCAATTGTAAGATTATCTCTTCTTGGGATCATAATTATATTAATTAAGAAAGTATTAAATTAATAGTTTTGCTTCCAAAGCATATATTATACAATAAATGCTTTATTTTTTAAATACACAAATACGGGAGTGTGGTCTTTACATAAGCGAGTTAACACCGATCCTTGAATAACTTGAGGCGACCTCATACCGCACCAAATAGTCAACCTCAAGTCAACATACATATGTATATAAATAATGCGTTCACACAATAATTCAAATTCTTTGTTCGCCATAAGTTGTCTTAGTGGGATCATTGTCTTGACATAGTGGGATCATTCAATACGTACCTACACTTAACCATATAGATATATCAAAGAAAGAAACGATCTACTAATAGGCGATCTAAAAATATTATTTTTCTAAGAAGATTCTTATATAAGGACTAGTGCCTCCCCTTAAAATTAGTTGCAGAGCTGTTGACGGCTCTACACTTGCTTGAGCTTTGTTATGGTATTATAAAGGTGAACGAATCTCTAAACGTATTATAGAGAAGTGAAGATATTACAGTTGATGAAGCTGACGCAATTATCTAAAATTTGAAAGGTTAGTAATGGACGCTCAAAGTTGTTCAGATGCTTTATTTTGTTAGTCTAAACAAACCTTCCCACAGCTCAAATATACTCATTGTATAAATTATATGCAGAATCATTAATCAAATGTAAAGAAATTTCTATTCTCTACTTAGAGTTGATTTCTTTTTCCCCCCTTGTAAAAACTTGTTCAATTGAAGGAAAGGTAAATCATATTTATATTTACTGATTTTGATCCTTTCGAGCTTCCCTAGCTTTGGCGAACTGAATTTGAAATAACTATATAATACTGTGATCAAATTGAAAGGTGAAGTTTAAATTTATACATCGCGTGTTTTTCGAATCGGTAATTTTTTTTTCTGTAAGTACTGTTAGTGGCACTTATGCTAAATTCACGTCAAAATATTAATTAGTATTTGAGAAATGCTTGGTTTAGTGAGGCTCTAAAAGTGAATTCTTCGATTTTTACTATGTCTGAATTTATTGAACAAAAAAGTGCGACAATGCATCTTCTCATACTTCATTGGTTATTCGTGATCATTTCGCCACATTTTCAACTAATATCGTGCCGAAATCACCGCATTCGCAAGTTTTACCTTCGTGTAACTTCAGGCTATTCAGCCACCGTTTTGACTCAATTGAGGATATAAAAGCTGAATCGAAAAAGGCTCTGATGGCCATTACGGCGGAGGATTTTTCCAAGTGCTATGATGACTGGAAAATTCGTTGGCATAATTGTATTGCAGAGGGAGGGGATTACTTTGAATTAGATGGAATGGATAAAACTCACTTTTCAATTTGATCACGGTACAATTGAGCAAACACTTATATATTCATATTTATATATTATTATTATTTAAAAATATATATTTACACACATACAGATACAGATAAAAGTGTTCACATATAGATTAAAAAATGTAGAAAACGAGATGAAATTACGGTAAAATAGTTTTTAAGTAGGCAAACAGTTGCATACCAACAAAAGAGTGGAATAGCTTATAGATAATGTATCTGTAAAAAGCAAAGAATAACGGCTTAACAGAAAGCAATTCGATATGCATATGTACATAGAGTACTATCAGAAAAATTTTGTTTGGTCCAGATTTAGTGAGTCAATCGAAAATCATATGTACATACGGTCCAGTTCTTCAACTCCACTGATGCTTTAGCACTTTCTATCAGTACGCGTCCTGTACAAATTTCATTTCGGTGATAGGATTAGATAGTTAGCGATTAGTTTACGGATCGGTTTCCATAGCGACGCAAATGATTTTGAAAAATGTTGACTTTATCTCTACGAGTGACTGTGCAAGCATGTTTTCTACAGGTACGTTTCTAATTGGTACTAATGTATATACTTACTCTTGTATGTACACTCTCGTATGCAAGTGAGAATATAGGATTTGAATGCAAATAATATTTCTACTAATTACAGATGCTAAGTGAAAAGTACAAGCAGCGATTTGATATCTATGGCCGATCATTTACATAAATATGCATGTCTGTATGTGTTTGAATGCATCATTTTTGTTATATTGATATTTTTCATGTACATATGTAGGAGTATGTATGTGACCTTGTACACATCTCCGCAATCACGTGCTCGTCTTAACAACACTCACTCACCGGTAGCGCCGCACTGGCATTCCTCCGACCTTCGTTGGTGGTTCTTGCGTTTGTGCCACCAACGATTCGTGTGCCAGAAACGTTTGTCGCTTCGACTGTGACTCTGTCCCTGACCGCCGGGAATTGGTAAACGCAATTGGGGCCTCATATTGGCGCCGCATAATTGGCACTTAACGGCCGCCTTATTGACTTTCGAGTTGGCCATATCGGTGCTCTCGTAGCCGACGTTCACAGTATCGAAGGTGATGCACTTGGCTTGGTTGCCACTACCAGTCTTTTGTTCAATCATATTAATGGCCTCTTCCTCATCGACAAATATGCAGATTCCGCCGCGTCGTTTGAGTGACGACTTTTGCGAGAAATCGACTTCTGTTGGCCGCTGCGGCTCTGTTCGTATGTTTCGGTTGTGCCAGAACAGTCAGTGGTTACCGTTAAACCGTTGCAGTTGGGATGGTAGAGATTCAAGTGGTTACACATAGACACACACATATTCGAGATGTGGTTGGTATTACAAGACGGATTTTGAAGTTAACAGTTAGTTGGTTGATTGGTTGTTGATTTGTTGTTGTTGGTGGAAGTACAAAAAATATACAGGGCGATATATTGGAATGTTAATTATTTACAATTACTCGACAGGGTGGAGGTAAGGGACACAATAGCTCTATAAGAAAACTAGTTGCAAGATACAGTGGGACACAAGGCGATAGAGGGGGCGATAACAAAGATGATTAAATGTTCAATTTAGAGAGTATGAAAGTATGCAATTGAAATATGTAAACATATTTATAATAAGGATGTAATGTAAATTCATAGCATGCAGAACATGCGTGTTTATATTTTATGCCGGCTAGATACTAATTTTCAGATGGTCTGGCAGAAGCAACGCTGGATAGAAATATTTTTAAGAATTTTTTGTTTATGATATGCATTTATGCGTAGTGTGTCAAAGGAGTTTTGGATAAATATGAACCGGTCGTTGTTGATTACTTTCAAGGGAAAAATTTACGTCAAACTCAACCAAGGAATGCAATTTTCCAAAAAGAATTGAGACAGTAAAATATTTAATTTTTTATGATTATGCAGTCAATATATTGTTATTGTTGGATGTTTATATGTGACCACAAAATGTGCCTTACGTCTACGGGCATTAACAAAATAATTTCCATTATTCCCGCTAACTTCAGTTTTCGATGTACAGGGTTTGTCCGGAAAGTAATAAGACTGAGTCGATTTAAATAAATATATTGAACCAATCGTTACACTTCTTTAACAATTTTCAAAATAGGCTCCATCTGCGTCGATTCAGCGCTGCCAGCGTGATTTCCAAGCATTGAAGGCGTTACGGAAGACATTCTCCGGAATAGCCTTGAGAGCCGAGGTGCATGCTGCTTGTATCCCAACCATCGTCGCAAAATGCTTACCTTTCATAGGCCTTTTTAGGCAAGGAAACAAAAAAAAAAAAGTCCGGGCCACATATGGGCTGTAGGCGGCTGCGGAAGCTATGGGATGCCGACCTTGGTTAGGTAGCTGTTCGCAGCTTCGTTTGAATCTTTTAAGGACTTCTACGCAAAACTTGGCGTTGACGGTTTGTCCAGGAGGATTAACTTCTTGTGACCGATGCCTTTGATGTTAAAAAAGACAATGAGCATCGTTTTCACTTTGGATTTATTCATTCTTCCCTTGTTTTTGGTCGAGGAGACGCCGGCGTGTGCCATGCGGACGATTGCTTCTTTGTCTCGGGATCATACTTAACGATCCATGACTCGTCACGTCATACGTCTCTGTTGCAGATTTACCGAGTTTTACACAGAATTTAATCGCGAACCTCTGATCTAATGAACGCTGCACTTTCCGGACAAAACCTGTATGTGTGCATTCATACTGATACCAATACAAGAGGAAATCGGCATTAACATAGATCTAACTCTTGGATACCCAATACTATATTACAGTTTCCGTTATTCCTTCCTAAAAATTAAGGAAATTAGTTCACACTGTGTGGTATAACGACTTTCTACTAAAATTTTCCTCTATCAGTCCCAGTTTCATTGTTTCACATATTCGTGATATTATTCCATTATATTTTTAAGTATATTATTTGCAAAAAAAATAAAAAATAAAAAAATAGCAGGTATTTTTAAAGGAAGGTTATGGGACCTTTTACGATGCCATCTTAATCATTACTAACAGCAATAATCAAAACATTTAAGTTTTCATTGATATTATTTCTATCAATATCACTAATGTCTCATAGGTGTATGTGTGTTTTATCACTTTACGAGTACGACATGGAGAAGCAGACAGTGAGACTTGTGAGGCAAGTTACAACATCTACAATATATATGCATGTATGTGTTTATATGTTCGAACGAAATTAAAAGAAATTAATCAGAAATCAGAATCAGAATCAAAGTAACAACAACAAAGGTACCTAAACATAGCAAAACACAAATGGAAGGATCAGAATGGAGGAGGTGGAATGTTCTTGTGACCACCAGTACAAACCCCACGAGGACCGCAACAACCGTGAACACTATCGCGTTCATTTAACCAGTTTGAGGTCATGACGACAACTGAGACCCGTCTAATTGGTGAAATTACGCGCGTACTTGTAATATAAATCTGAATTACCCATACATATGTACACAAGTGTTTGACCAATATGTCAGGCGTACAAAATCACTTGGGCTCAGTTATGAGCGATGACTTTAACTGGCAACCGATTGGCGGCGTGTCTATAATAACCGGTTTTAGGTCGCAGAGCCGAACGATTTGTACTCGTACAATGGCGAGTTTGTGGGTGGAGGGGCAGAGGGCAGAGGGACGTGGGAAAGTGTTGGTGGGGGTATAATTGATGACGATATGGACATGGTGTGTACTGGTTTCAAAACGGGGCTGGTGGTGTTAGCAGTTTGTGCACTATTCGTCATGATATATTGATTTCTTACGTGAAAATCGTACACTACTTACTTGCTGAGCTGGTCGATACTCGACCCATTGGTATGTAGCTACGGCTATCACTGTTGTCCTGTGAGAAATTAATGACATTGACATCATACGTCACCACCGACGCCTGACGTTTGCGTGTTGATTGACCGTTGCTGCCGTTATAAGCTCCGCCTCCTGCTAGTATGCTGGGGCGATGACGTATTGTTGTGGATGTTGTTTCTGGCTCGCTGTCGTGACGTTTGAATAACGGTGAAGTCAAGTCTTTCTCATCGGTGGTGAGCAGACCAATATCACCACCGTCGATGTCGCCTTTACTGCCGCTGTGCAACGAAGTGGGCGAGAGTGTAGAGTCTAGTATAATTTCTGGTTTTGGCGACTTGCATTGCGACATTTGTGGTGGTGTTGCGTGCATTGCCAAGGCTTGTTGACTCTGAGACGTCGGCACTGACAATGAGGTAAGTACGTCCAAGGATAATGTGGCCGTGTCACTGCTGAAGGGATTGCTTGTTGGTGAGTTGTTTGGGAATGGTTGCAGAGTTGCTGTTGGTGGTGGTGAGAGAAAGTAGACATTTACAGTGTTACTCAGTGCGCTTGGGAAGGCATTAGCCTTTGTTGTCGGTAGATTTTGTGCGGAGTTGAAGTTTGGTGTTGTCGGTGGGGACATGAGAAAGTTAGTGCTATTCTTTGTCACTAAAACTTGATCACTGAGTGTGCTGAGTCGCTGTTTAATCTGATTTGCTGACTTTCCTGACTTGGATTCGGTAGAGTTGGACGACGAAAGGAACCTACGATGTGGCGAATCGATTGTGGTAGTCCCTAGTTCTGCAATGGGAAAACTAAGAGAGCGGAAGAGCTCGACCAGGTCAGTACGCGAGGTAATGAGAATATTGCTTTTCTCCGGCAGTTCAATGGCGCATTTAATGGGTTGATCAGGAACTATAGCTTCGGTTAATGAGGAAGGCGACAGTGATGGTGGCGGTGTAGCTGGTATATGTGGGGACTCTGTTAGACAGTCGGTGTATTGCGAGAAGTCGTCTGAGCCACTATAAGCTACTTCGTGAGAATCTCCTAAGTCAATTAATTGTACTGAGCTATTATGTCCGTGTGGAGATGTAGTTATCTCGAATTCGTGTGTTCGAACTGAAATATTGTCTTTTATAGTGTCATCCGTTTGTTCGTTTAACACATTGATATCGAGTAAAATGTCAGGAGTGTTGTAGCGCGTAGCCGAGCTCTCCTGACTTTCCCCCATAGTGTACGAATAATAGATGAAACCGGCCTCTGAGTCAGTGTCACTGTGTTGGCGCGAATGCATCTCCTGTTTCCGGCTCATGCCTCCGTTGTAACTGTGTGACAGTTTGCGATTGCGTGACCGTCGAAATAGTTGTGCACGATTGCTGCGTATCTCTTCGGATGTGGCTTGGTGGCGTTTCTTTTCGATAGAAAAACATTCCGTGCTTGATCGTTTCGTTTTCGCTAACAAACCTTTAAATGTAAAACCCTTGTCTCTTACTTTGTCCTTATCCTCTTTCACAACACCTTCTGTGAGTGATTCTAGTTGTTTTCGCTTATTTGTGGAGTCAGTCAGTGCCTTGAGGAACTCAGAATCACTTAGAGCACACGGCTTTTTGGCATTACCTTCATTGCCGCCATTACTACGACTGCGATTGCGACCGTTTTTCATCTTGATAAAATCACTTTCGCTATGTGCTGGGAATTTCCGATTTCCAGCAGTCTCTTGTTGCTCGCTTGGTTCAGCACCAATCTGGATATTAGTTTGCTTCTTAAAATACAAATAACTGTCTTCGATGAGACGCTTTAGTTCTTTATTATCCTCCGCGATTGGCAGGCATGTTATTGGAGCCTGTAACTGCTGCTGCTTCACTCCCAATTGGATTACATTGTCGCAATAGTCGGTGGTCTCACTATCATCGCTCATCATGCCAAATATCTGTTGATATTGCTCTGAACCCAACATTTTTTGTCTCACCTGTAGAGATTGCTTACTGCTAAAACTTTGTCGTTGGCTGGGCGATTGCTTTGGCGAGTTCTGATTAGAATTAATTGGAGAGGCGGACCGTTTCGTAATGCAAACGGATTGCTGTAGTTCCCCAAGCCCATCTGTCCAAATATGAGGGTTAAGAGTCGTGGCCTCACCATTTGGTTGTTGTTGTGCGGCATGATGCAGTGCGATCATTGATGGAGCGCTGTCGGTGTGCGTGACTCTCTCATAGCGTTCTTGCTCCAAGTCCCGCAAATCGATGCTACTGCGGCTGAGCCGACGCGGCGGAGCTGGTACTCGTAATTCATCACAATCATCACAATCATCTTTTTCATCGTCTTCATCTGTTGTTTGTGGCAGTATATCCTGAGGAGAAGTATAAAATTTAAATTGTGTTGGTATTAAAAAGTAGAATAATTCATAAAAGTTCAGCATTCGCAACTAGCATTACGTTTCGATTGGAGCATTACAAATAAAAGTTAACATAGTGTTTTCACCTCTAAATTGCTGATCGCGCTATGTGTCTCCTCGCGCGCTATCGTAGCGCTTAGCTCGCAGTCGCCTGGGTGCAAATAATTGAGGTTGGTCGATTGGGTGTGGCCCATGTGCACACTGTTCAACAGAATATTCGAACTTGTACGGCTTAGAGCTTTTCTTTGTCGCACTGCTTCTCTGTGTGAAAAACCGTGGATATAAAAAAATATGAGACTAAGTGTACCTATGCGCGGATACTCGTTCAACTTACTTGTAGATGCGCCAGTACATGCAGAGCATCACGATGCCCGGTATCCAGAAGCTGACTGAACTCGAAATGATTGCGTACGCTTTGTTGACCACAAATGAGCACTGATCCGGATGCATTAAGATTTCCCGCTGGTGCTCAGCGGTCGTATACCAACCCAGGAAGATGGGCGTGAACGATATAAGCGCTGGGAGTATCCACACATTCGCTAACATAAAGTAAACTGTACGAGTCGTCATATACAGTGGATACTCGAGTGGGCGGACAATGGCGAAATATCTGAAAGAAAACAAAGTTAACAGACTCGCGCTGATAAGCATAAGTTCTTTCATTTTCTCTGCAGCTTTTAAACGCCTCCAAACACAACTAATCGTCCACGAAATGTGGTTTGCCATTTGTGGTCGCATTAATCATTTCATTTGCCACATCGTTTTCATTCATTTAAGTTTTGAGTTTGTTTTGTACTACTTCTCGCATATTTGTGGGTGTTTGCCATAAGGCAGCAGCGAGTTTCAGGTGCGAAATTTGCTTGTAGTGCGTTTAATTAATTTCGCTTTCCGGGATGTGCTGGAAAGTTCTTCGCTGTTGGCTTATTTGCACAGCAGTTGCCGTTGTCTTTAAGTCGACTAAGTGCTTGTGCCAGCTGCATTTGGACAAACACGTGGAAGAATGAGGAAATGGATGGAATAATTAACAAAGATAACGTCTTCGTGTTTTCCATGCCGATTGCCACAACCTACACACTCACACAAACGTATACACCTGCACTCTCATTGAAAAGTAACAGTGAAATTGATTGATGAGCACTTTGTGTGGAGCCAATTGGTTCTTGACACGAAATAGCCGATTAAGAAGAGCGGTTTAAACAAAAACAAATACACTGTCTCGAGCGATGAGGCGTATAACAGCTATTTAAATAAATGACAACCCCAGCCTACGAGTTTACGAATTTGATTCATGCTCAGTTGCGTTCAAATGTAGAAACATTGACGGCTTCTAACACTCATTAATTTTTAATAACTGCTTAACTGACTTTTACTGTTTAATCCTTCTAGATAACAAGAACGGCTTTAGAGCCTTTTTATTTGCGACATCAGATTCTTTATAGTGACTACAGATATATCTCATATACACACGTTTCGGCTTAATTAATCCCATTAAAAATGTAAAATAATCGCCAGCCAGTAGTGCATAAATTAATTGAATGGAAACAATAACAATAACAATGCCACGATGTTATTTGCATTATGACGGGGCCGAGAGTAATTTATGGCAAACTTACCGATCGACAGAGATACAGCATAAATGCAAAATACTCGCAGTGGAAAAGTACACATCCAGGCTGTTGTACACGTTGCACATGAAGCGGCCGAACATCCACTTGCCGTCTGAGAGCTCCACCGTCGCATTAAATGTCATCGCACACAACGCCACCAACATGTCTGCCATGGCCAACGAGACGACGAAATAATTCGTGATAACGCTGCAAGGAAGAGAGGAGAACAAGGGTGAGAATGTGTGTTAATACGGAACCTTAAATGTTGAATTGCACAATCGGGTATTTATGTGTCTTTAAACGCCATCGGTGGCAGAATAGGCGCGGAAACAAAAGCGAGCTCACAGTGGTTTATTTCCTTCCTTTCAGCATTGCCAGCGTTTGAGTACAAGAATAAATTACATTCGAGTGCATTATTGAGTTCTGGAAAAAAAGTCTATTTGCTGGCTTGAATTCTATTCAAGGTCACTATTGCTGTCTACATATGTCGGGGGGGACAACACGTGATGATAATTAATATAATAATGGACGTAAGCACCCATCTAAGAAATTTGTATGAAGTTTTCAAAAAGCTTCTTCGAAGAGCACAAAACTTAGAAATCTCTATATTCTGTATTCAGTTTACAGTTAATTGTTAATTGGTTACCACTTACACGCTCGCCTATATATAAGAGTTGGACTAAATCCTTACCTAAAACTGCAGCATAGTTCCACTGACATGTCTTTGTACTTTGCATTTTAAGCTTTCAGTTTAATACGTCCAGCATTTCGGACCACTCAATACTAACAAAATGGTTTAAGTGACCTATGACATACAAATACTATAGGTCAGTCAAACACAGTCGTGTTCCGCTTGCTTTCTAAGTCTTTGATTATTACGTCCTCGTTTCACAGCGGCGTTAAGATGATGCCATAGTACATATTTGCTTTAGTCTTTCTTCTACTTCCTTATTACTGTTTACTGGACGTCTTGTAAATTTTTAACCCTGCCTTTAACAACGGCTCTTGCCAACGGCTGAATCTCATTCGCATCAGCGGAGGTCTGTGCGCCACGGTGTGTTCTTAACCGTTGCTGATGATGGCGTTGAGTTTTTGTAAATGCAAGTTAATGAGGTCGTAAGTAAAATGATGAAGTGGAAGGTTATTTACAGTTCACTGAAAGCAACTGGAGATGTGCGGCATCCATCGCAAAGCTTGATTGTAAGAAAGTGGTGGAAGTTTAAATTTATGCTCGAGGCTATATTTATTTATTGAAGAATGAAGAGTTCACTCAGCTAAGCAATGCCTAAGGTAAATACCATAAATGCATCGTTATGCATCGTTATGCATATTTTCTGTTTTTTATAGGAAGTTTGGTAAAATTTCTTCTCATATCACATATAAAGCATTTCAACATATATGGATGCCGAAGTCTAGTTTACTTACCGTAATTTGCGATTGCGGCGCACCGAAATGATGACCAAGGCATTGCCCAGCACCGCCGCTGAGATAATCAAAGCGAATATGAATCCTTTCACAATGAATATCGACAGGCTTAACCATTTGTCCCTGTTGTTTTGCGCAGCGTTATCGGTGATGTTGAGTACCGTTAAGTTGACATCGTCGCTGGTTTTGTTGCCGCTATATGTGCTGCCATTGTAACTCTCTGTGAATGAGTCGTTGTACACCAATGCGTTGAAAGTCGCTTCTGCTTCGCCGATGGTGGTAGCAAGCACTGCCGCTGTTGCTGTCGACGTCGCTGCAGGCACATAGGCATTTGCGCTGCTATATATCGCGTTTCTTTTGACGGTCGTTGGTGAGGATACGTCTATGTCGGTAGCGGTACTGGCGTACGCTGGCGTTGTTTCTCTTCCAGCTGAAGTCGAATCGAAATTCGCCGCAATTACAGTATAATTTGCAATCGCCGCTGCTGCTGATATTTCATGCGTCGCGTAATCGCTGATATTACGAGTTTCCCGCAGGGTGGTCGCTGCACTTGCCGGTGAAGGAGCTGTGAATTCTTGCGATGCGGCCGGGTGGCCCAGGTAGGTGATGACGGCCAAGCTGGCTGCGATTGTTGTCGCTACGCTATTGCGTCGGCTCCCACTGTATGTTTGGTGGATATTGTTGTTGATCTCTTTGTTATTGCTCCCTTTGCTACTGTTGTTGCTGCTACTGCTGTTCGCCGGCTTAGCTGCAATGTTCGTGCACATCGTGCGTCTATCATAGGCTGTTGATCCCTTCTGCTAACGCTTCAGTTTCGCCTTTACTGTTGGCTGTATTGTTTGCGGCCTGCGACTGTGTTGCTGGGGGAATTGTTGTTTTGTGATTTCTATACTTTTTTGGACTTTTGTACTCAGCACCACAATTCATTGCAAGTTTAATTGCCATATAGTACAAATTTCTCCATCTTAAATTTACTGGATAACGTTGCTTTCTAACTTTGCGTCCTCATTTTTTGGTTTAATTTATTTCCTCGATTTAGTTGCCATTTACTTTTTGTTGGTTGCCTCCGCCTTCTTGTTTTCATTTGAAAATTGGCGTTGGTGCTGGCTTGTTGTTGTCTTCAGGAGAGAAAATGGCATTGAGAGTATTTTGGGTCAGCATTTTATCTTTCGGCCCTCCGGTCGCTGCTTCACGTCTCAAAAGCATTGATATTCTCACTTTCTGTTGGTGTAGATGTGACAGTTGCAATTGCCAGTTCAACAGTGTCCTTATGATGGCAATCATCAGGAAATTTTGCTGCGTCCAACAATCCAATAATGTCATTGTCACCCAAGCTAAGCTTGCAAGCTTTGTAGCTAGGTAGCTTAGTCAGCAACAGTTGCAGCCTTCAAAACTTCTGCTTTTGTTGTTGTAACTTTTATTGATAGCTTTGAAGCATAATAATGTTGATCAACAGATGTTCACTACCCTTTTCCTCCAGCTGTCAATCACAAATCACCTCGTACCTCCCACGTTCTACGAAACAGAGTTTAGGTTCGGGTGAGCCATCAAGGACACGGTCGTCAACAACATTCACCACTAACTGCTGCTGAGTTTCGGCTCACCCACCTTCTCAGCCGCTTGGGTTCCTTGTATCTGTCGACAGCAAARTCAGCAAATAAGTCACTTGTCGACGTCGTCAAATACTGATTATCCGTTTTTAATTAAACGCCAGCAAAAATCTGAAACGGAAATTAAAAAGGACGTGAATTAGCGAGAGTAGAGGGAAATGGGAAATAAATCTTGCAAAGCATATGCAATGTTTAACTGTTAATCAAGCGATTTCGACACAATATTTGGTGGCTCTTCAGTCACAGGCATTTGGGTTCGGGGTAATGTTTGTACGATTTAATATTAGAGAAGTGAATGATTTGTAAATGTGTGTATGTATCTAATTGTGTCACTGTAACCAGAATTTCAGTGGAAATCATAATCTATCTATCATAACTTAATCAATTTTAGTTCCTTCGCTTAAAAACCTTAAAAACGAAAACTAAGCGAATTTTAATAGACCTTGTTAATTTTCGCTTATTTTGGCTTCTTTGTTAGCGATGTCGAATTATTAATTTTAAATTTTTATCCGAATGTTAAAATTAAGTAGTTTTCGCAAAAAATTCACTCATTCCGAAGATTATTTTATTTATTTATTATTATTTATTTATTCTGGTGTTTCGTTCATTCATTTATTTTTAGTATTTCCCATCCATTTTTCTTCACCCATTTGCAGTCATTAGATGTTTACTAAATCAATAATAATGGCTCAAAGAGGCAATTACCAAAGCTTGAAAAGGATTTGTTGTGATTACTGCAAGCAATTTGCTACACCGCTTGATTTCCTTTGAAATGCAAATGTAACTAAAGTAATCCAGAGACAAATATTAAATAGAAATGAAACAAATAGTGTCAACAAATGAACAATGCCAGCGTTACTGGCAGCCGAACAAGCACCGGCGGGCACCCCGCAAATCCGACGCCAAATGTAAACAATATGCGAGTCGGCAGCGACGGTGCGGCAAAGGCAGCCAAAGTGCTTAGGAACTGACGGGTTAACGTCAAAGGAGCTGTATGCGGAGAGGGCAATGAGAGCAGCTAAGAGGGGAGTAGGAGAGTGTTCATACGTAACACTATCTGTTATAGAGAAGGATATGCAAATGTGCTCCCCTTCGAGCTGGAGAGGGATGTATAAGTGTTTAGCAAGCAAAAGGATTACGCGGAATAAATATGTAAATGTCTAAGAACCTTTGCAAGCTGTCAAGATTAAAACATAAGGTTGCTGCCGTAAATCACGGATAATACATCGTAAATGATTATGAAAAAGTGTAAAAAACCAAGAAATGTTAGCTTTGCATGGAAGCTATTTGCTATAGTAGTCAGATATCGGCGGTTCCGACAATTGAGCAGATTCTTGAAACGGTTAGAACGTGTACAGGCTATATTTTAGATTAATGTCTCAAATACCGATGGCCCAATAGACTTACATGGCTAAACTGACACATGTGTTAACAACAGAGTGCCGAAAAGTGACAGAACGGCCAGAGAATGAGTACAATGTGCAGCATTCTGCAGAGCGATTTAAATAGTTTATTATGTGCGAGCTCGTCGTTTTGTAGATGTGTGTGAACAGCAGTTATCACCGTTGACCTTACATGCCCATTATCCCAGTCACCCCTACGTGGGTATGGCAGTCTAACAATCACATATATACATATGCATGTGCAAATGCAAAGGCTCCGCTTTGATTTTGACAAAGTGCACATGTGCTCATGTGTATGCAGACGTCTGTCGGGAGCACCAGACTGTCACAACCATGCTGTATATCAGTGCATCCACTTAGAACAATGTGCTGTTGCTTCACTTCATGTTTATATATTTTATATGTGTGTAAGCATGACTATCTGTTAGAGTGTGGTCCACTTCACAAGTGTGTAAATATGCAGACGCTTAGATCTTTTCTAGCTGGCTCAATGTGTATGTGTGTATAAGTGAAAGCCAACATTTGCATACTTAGAGGCGCATATAGCATATAGCCAGCATTTAAATATCTGCAAATACATGTGTAACTGTTTGTCTGACTACTTAAATGCCTGACATGGCAGGCTCTGAAGCTCTCGGTCAATCCGCTCACGTACTGGTCGACCATAACAAACAGCTGCTACAACGAGTTTTCCTCAGCTCACACACCCATACACATCCACACAAGGCTGAATGGATGCCATATTGGGTTATTGTTTCGAATATTGCCAACGCGTTCTTTCTCTCGAAATATACATATGCGCACGTAATATGGAAAAAATGGAAATAGAAATAAAATTGTGCTTGCCGACTCTGGGCCTGTCTGTCGGAAGGCAAATCCTTCTTGGCGCTTACAATTTTCCATAATGATGATTGCATTTGTCATTATCAGTACTTACGTTGACCATTTCCATAGCGGCCGGGCCTGTCAATGGTTGGCATTCAAGTAGTGAATGGATGGAATGGCTATCGCTGCGAGAATATAAGAAATTGTTAGTTACCAGCAAATGTTCACAATTATCTCTGACCGTCAACTTGCTTGTGCCAAATCTGTGACTTAATATCTGACTAATGGGCGATTTACAAGCTTACGATGCGTCTGCAAACACACAATGTTGCCTCCAAGTTCAATGCCATCAACTGAGGAAAATTTAGAGCATTTAATTTCAGTCTGACATTGCAAAGCTCCACATTAGTTGCCCATCGATTCATTAAGGGGACATGGAAGCATAAATACATAAGTACATAATCTCATTGCGCTTGTTGTACGGACCCTGGAATGTCAAGCTAAATGATTACTCTCCTGTTGTTAATAATAGTATTCCAACACTTCACAGATTTCTTAATTGAAATAATTTACATAATGGATTGCCTCGGGTTGGTTGTTTTCATATTTTGAATACATTGGATAAGGAACAAAATGTCAAGAATCTGACATCTTCATGATGTTGAAACGTATATACTTACATACTTATGCATATACATACTTATATGCATCTATTTCAAAGTCTTCCCTAAACTTCCATGTGGTAGTTATTAAACTTGTCTTTAAACCCACAAATATCTTAGCTCCCTTCTCTTGATTCCTGAAACTTCCAACCCTCTGCCATAAATATTGTTTACTTTGTTCAAATACATTTGAAGTTCAATTTAGATTGATAGAACTATTTCTGTGCTTCCAACAACCCATATATTGTCCTACTTTAAAAAGACATCTGCGCTGTAGGGCGGTTGCGGAAGCGTTGGGATGCCGGCCTTGGAACAAATTCATGGTGGACGGTACTTTTGATGTCAAAGAAACAATGAGCATCGTTTTCATTTTGGATTTGCTCATTCATCAGCGACCTTTTTCCGGTCCTCCAAAACGGCCTGGTGCCACCGAAACACACCACTTCTTGCAAAGCAATAGTTTCACAGATAATTTAATTGCGTACATCTGCTCTACTGAACCCTGCATTTTCGGCTTGCACTACTCACACAACAAAATGTTGGTCCTGACTGTCCAGGCACTCGGAGACAACTAACCAGCTGCTCGTTCGTTACCTAGGAACGCCCTTTACCGAATCCAGTCGCGGCGAAAGAAAATCAGTCCTATTACTTTCCAGACAAACCCTGTATATGAGAGAGAGAGTCCATGATTAACAATAGTGGATAGATTAAGAAGTTGTTTGCTGAGGTCACTTCTTCTGCTTTGAGCTGTTTATGACCCTAATGCATGATATGTATATTTAACACTACGGAACGAATATATTAATTAGGTTGCGCATTTTCGACAATTTTTCTAAAATAATTATTTAGAAGAGTTCAAAATGGAAAATCATGCTTTGATATTAGATAAGCTCCAGCGTCTTTCCATGACGAAGCAGCTGTATAACAATAAATATAAATATATATAATACATCTTGCCAAAATATGCCCGTCAAAGCGACTATAAATTATGGCTGCCACAACATTGTGGCAGCAGTAGCTCTTGGCGATTGCGTGAACTAACATACTCAGTTACTTTGATTAAGTCGTGAAATTCTGCTTGAAAAGCATAAATAAGCTATGGGTCAGCGAATTGTTCTGATTATTATGCTTTTTGCCGGTTGCTGTTATACGATTTGTAGCGCCAAGTTGCTTGAGCCGGTCGATTACCAGGTTAGTAGGCTTTAAAGCTCCATTTCGAAGGAAACGAATTTAATGCTTGCCATATAATCGCGGCATCCAGGGTGACCTGTTTATTGGTTTGAAGAGTCAGCAGCCACATAAACGCTACCAAAGCAATGAGCCGAGTGAGCTGAACGCCATCCAAGGAAAGAACGAAAATGCGGACATATTTGATGAGTTGCAAGCCGATGTTTACGAAAACCTCGTGCGGCTAATGAAAGGTTGGTGGACCACAGTATTTTATTATTCAAAGCTGAGTTATGCTCCACTGCGAATCTCTTTCAGAAATGCAAAAGGAGCGTGAACGCGTGTCAATCCGTTATAAACCAAATTTAGGCAAACGCTTTCAGTTATACAAATAGAAGACGTTCGCCGCCAATATAGAGCTAATAACTTACCTAAATAACCGGATATCATAAGATGGAAAATGCAAAATGTGTATATTCGAAACCCAATAGCATCGGAAATACATATAAAATGGATTTCTAAAAACAAAATGTAAAAAAAGTGGTTAAGTATTTAGTTGTATTAACTGAGTTTAATATTTAGTTGTATTTCCTGTTTCTCAGTTTTAGTGCTTGGAATATGCTTAAAATAAATTTGAATATGTAATCCATATGTTGCAACATTTACATAACATTTTTTCTGCCAAGAAGCTCGGTGCAGCCAAGTGGTTTAAAGAGCGGGTGAAGAATATTTCACTTTTACTTGGGAGACTCAAAGAGAATGCAGATAAGGTTTAATTTTAAGGAGCGACTCCATAATGAGCATTTCGTCAAAGTTGAAGCTCTTATGTTCGCCGTCATAGTTAAAAAAGAAAAAGAAAAAATTTGTGCAAAAATTAGCCTGCATTCTTAAGGCAATATAAATATCTTTATATATAAAAATTACCTGTCATGTTGTTTGTCCGCGATGGACAGTTCAAACCAACTTAGAATGTAGGATAGTACATGTAAAGAATTCATAAATACAAAAATAGAGTGAAAGCTCTATTACATGGACACCCCATTAAGCGAACAATTCTATTAAATGGACAGAAAGGCTGGTAACCAGACTTTGGATTTTTATACCAAAAAAAAAAACGTTTCCCCTTTATCTTCTTATATTTAAAAATGAATCGCAATTTGGTCGATTCTTTTTTCTAAAAGTTCGTTGACGTTCAAGGATGGTTTTTACGGCAACAAAATTTCGAACAATTGCCGGAAAACCCCTAAAAACAGCTCTTTTCTTTTTCCCATACAAACGAATGAATGTTTGTTGGTTTCTAACGCTAAGAGAACGGCTGCACCAATCTTGATGAAATTTTCAGAGCTTGTTCTCTAAGGATCGGGAAAGGCTTGAAAATAAAATAAAAAGTATGATTTTCGTAAAGAAAAGTCGGAAAATTGGAAAATCCAAAAAGTAACTTTTTTCATAAAATTTTTTTTTCAATATATGTGTATCTCAACCCAGAGAATAAAGTGGGAAACCACCAGAAATTAGCATTTACGAGTTTTTTCTCAACTTTCGTCAGTGAAAGTTTGCGAGAACTTGCTCTTTTCAGAAACGACTTGATACTATACATAGAATCCATCGTTGAAGAAATATTTACGCAGAAAGCAAGGTCAAACAGTAGAGTGTCATTCAGGTGTGTTCTCAACTAATTCATTCGGACGAAATTACACAATCCACCCGAAAAACGACGATTGCTTCTACCTTCGGTTGCTATTGATTCAACTTAATTTGAGTCAATTACAATTGCTAGAACATGATAATCACGGGAATCAAACGATGTACGATGCCATAGCTACTTCGAATGCCACTGAAGTTCGCACACTTTTCGCCATGATCAGCCTTTAAATCCGCGCCAATTATGGGATACGACCAAAAATTACATTGCCGAAGACTTTTTACATCGTATACGCTAAGAATTGGATATGGGTCCATGCCGGTTGATACTTCCGGTGGTTTGACATCAATTCCATATGCGGTTCATCAATTCACGAAAGATGGACCCATCATGAATGTTTATACGAACATTGGCCAAAGTAAGTACGATTCCTTGAGTGCACGCACAATGTTAGCTGCCAAAAATACCGATCTTGTTGACTTAAACTGGAAGATTCAAAGTCAAATTCCGGGAGACTTGCGGTCATATAAATCGATCGATCGTTTTGACAACGAAGACGACACTATGAATTACCCAATGGAATTTCTAAATTCTTTGGAGAGGCTTGGTATGCTACCGCATTATTTGCGTCTCAAAGTTGGATCTGTCGTTATGATGTTTAGTAATCTGATTGTGACGCACCTATCAAATATAAAGGGTAGAATGCTTGATTCTACGGATTTGTTTTGTACGTATTCCGTTTCCAGTGAATTGAATCAGAGATGACGATCAACAAGATAGTCGCATAGTGGGCGGCATACATTTGGAAATGTTATGTTTTTCACACGGCCAGGTATACGTGGAGTGCTCACGAGTTGGAAAACCATCTTCTCTGTATATTTGCGAACTGGAACAGAACCCCAAAAATGTTGTTTATTAAGTTACGTTACAATGCAAAAAAAAAAAAAAAAAAAAAAAAAAAAAAAAAAAAAAAAAAAAAAAAAAAAAAAAAAAAAAAAAAAAATGTAGAAAAATCGGAAATAAATCATTATCAACACAATATGAATTTTTGTATTTTCATCTCAAAACACACAATTTCACGCAGGACAATGGCTGCGGGGTCAGCTAGTTCCTAAATAAAATTTTCACCGTATTGAATAGTTTATTACATGAATACTGGTATAAAATATATAAGAGAGCAACGTGTGACCGGACCCACTAATATACACATATCGTGAGTGGTCGTCAATATTCGACTATTTTGCAGGGAGGTCAAGGTGTTAAGAGCACTACTTTCACATCACACAGCCTCTACATGTGTGCGAGGAGTTGTTTGCTTGGGTGTTTATTTGTGGCATTTTGAATAAACATACATACATGTCAAACATGTGAACCAAAATATAAACGATGCAAAAGGGTAAAAAGTGTTTAATCAACCAGACTTGCATAATAAGCCACTGAGCAAGATTTAATATTAGACACTACGTTGTTGTAGTGAACTTGTTCCCCATTTATTGGCTTTTAACTATTTTTCCCACATTTATACAGTCACACTCGCTCTCTCTCTCCTCCCCTTATTTCATGCAATGTGTGAACAAACGACGTCTTGCGGGGACTTAATACCTCGGTGACAAATTGACATTAATTACCATTGTTGCGAGATGATGTTGTTTGAATCGACAACAATGTTTTGTGCTGTTCTTATTCGCTTTCCTGTTGATTGATCTATTGGGTAGAGCTTAACACGCACTATGTGAGCATGCCTTTGTGAAAGCATTTGGAGAGCATATAAAAAGTTGCTGTCGCTGGCCAGCGGACAACAGTTATCGCTGATGGTTGCAAAGAGCTTGTACACAGCTTTCAAACCATTTTTCAAATATAAAAATCACAATCTGGCCTATACTTGCTCCAGACATAACACGCAGTGCTCTTCAAATGGGTCGTCTAAGGATTTTAACATTATTATTATGCGCAATTTCCTACTATGTGCTTTGCAGCTGTAAATTCTCGGACAAAACCGGCTTTCAGGTAAGGCTTACCCTCATGAGTGTTGGTAAATGCAGATCACATCAGTTAACATCCCCCAGCGGTTATTGAAGGATGCTGAAGATATTTTACTGCTGAATGGTATCAGGGTCCACATTTTACATTACTGAAATATCATGCACAATAGACCCTAGGTCGCGGTGCAATTCCCACTTACTTATCTATCTCTGGACTATCATGTAAATGGTTGACATTACGTTAACTGTGTAGGTGGTTCAGAAGAGAAAATATTGGGCCTCCATCTGGGTTGTATGCACTGTCAAAAATGAGTTCCTGCATCCTAGTTCCCTTATTCGAAGCTTGCGCTATATCGATGATTGATAATTGAAGAATTTTTTAATGAAAAAGTAATAGTAATTAGTTTCTTACAATACTAACATTCCGAAGAAGAGGATAACATAACCTTTTTTTTCTCTTTCAGCTAAACGATTACCACAACGCCTTTCGACACTCTATTGCCGCTCTTCGTATGACCGATGATTTTCTAGGACCGTTGCGGGTGAAACGTTCACAGAAATACGATAATTTCGTGCAGTACCCTAGCAGAGAAACCGAAATTGCACCTCATCTCGGCTTCGATCGTATTCCTTTAAACGACTACAATCGCATAGTGAGCGCCCTAAAAGGTTCATTGTTTACCTCAGATCGTAGAAAAATGTCAAACTTCTCTTTCCATTTATTTCTTTGACCACGTTTTCTGTGTTTCTCAAATCATAGAGATGCTGCGTGCACGTGACGAAAAACCCGTAATGTTGCGGCCTCGGCCGGGTCGACGTTCCGCAGTTGGGGAAGCTCCGCTTTGGCAATACTTCATAGATGAAGCTGACAACTTGAATCTCAACACTGCTGATACCGTGGCCATCGTGGGCGACGAGGACGACGCGCTAACGGACACATCATTGAAGAAGTCGGCGCCTTTCAAGCCCCGACTGGGTAAACGCGGCGAAGTCCTAAAATACCAGTGAATCGTTCGTGGCGTTGCAGCACTTGCGCGCACCGAAGTGTTGGCGGATGAGCGCTGAGTAGGCGGTGTGTTAGTTGGCAGTGCGTTGCCGGTGTGGCTCGTGTGTTGCATAACATCTGTACGCATATCTGGATATGTAAATATTTCTTATTTGCTTTGATTGGTGCACATTGCGGTTCAGCGGCTGTGTGGTCCTAACGGTTTTGCTGGTTTGTCAAGGCTTTTGTTGGCGACCAACAATAACAAAATTCACCTAACCTACACACACACACATACTTATCACATACGAATATTAAATTACGTTCGAAAATTACAACGAAAATATGAACAAAACCAAAAAAAAAAAGTTGATAGATGTCAATAATATTAAAAAGGCAAAAATTTTAGCTGATAATTTGGAGCAATTTCCCTGTTTTGTGGTTAATTAAAATTTTCGCTTGATCTTTATTGTAAATAATATATATATGCATGTTAACTAGAATATGAATATTTAATATAATAAATACATCAAAGCAAAAACTAACGAATTTAAATGTTTATACAAACACACGAATAATCCATCAAATAGTATAAAATCGCTACGGCTATATATATACAATATATATGTTGGAAAGAGTTAAAAGAGATTCACTGTATTTCCACATTTCTATCATTAAATAAAAAATACTTTTGTTTCCAATACAATGAATTTGACATTTTTCTTTTATTAAATCCTAGTGAAATAGTGCAATAAAACTGGTAGTAAGATTTGGGGAACACAGTGTGGGCGAAATATATCACCACACTGTCAGCCGAAACCCACCATTTTTTATTTATATAAAATAAAAGCCACACTGATCCTATTATGGTTAGTTAAGCTCTGAAGCAAGCTACTTCGTGAGAGGAGATTAGACTCTTTAATTTGGTTGAGGTATATTATCAACATTCAGTTTGCTGAGTTCAGAGCAATTACAGGAGTTGACAACATTTTGATCCTTTGACGCCAGTTAGTTTCTGTGGAAGCTGCAAACATGATGATTAACTTTTCGCTATGAATTATTTATATTTCAATTAGACTTTATTGACGCGGTGGACGTGCACACACGCACACCTCTACGTAAATAAGTACGTCTGGATAGAAGCGGTATTATATTTATTTATAAATGCAGCAGCAACAAATGGATTTGCGAGCATTCCAAACGCTGCTACGAGCTCCAACCGAAAGGCTAATTTCGAAAGCAATGCTCAGTCAGGGGTCGCCGTTACAATTGTGTCGGCTGGCCAGGTGAATAAAGAAGAATCAAAATAAAGGAACGGTAAAGAGCGTAAAAGGGTTAAATGGTCGGCTAATATAAACACATAAAAGTGCAGTTGCGAGTGGATTTGTGAAGAATAATAAAGTCACGCCCAGCAGGCGGCTGCCAGCTGCCATTGAATGTGCGAAAAAACTGGCAAGTTTGCTTACGCTCTTAGGAACCTGTTCTAAACCTATAACACACACACACACAAACACACATATCTCGGTAAACGACGAATATCCTATGAATGAATAACAAGAACTAAGCCATTTAGGACAGGTTGATGGATCTATTGTTTGCGTTGCGTGGAAGTGAGTTCCTTCTCCGCAGAAGTGATGAAAGCGACAAATTCTATGCTATTTGGCTCCGCTGCCAATTGTGCGGGAAAAGCTATTGGATCAAAAGAGCATAAAAGACCGCATTGGACCGCCTAAGCAGTGTCGCACAAAAGCGTTTTACACTTGCCAGGCACTTTTATAATGGACAGAGAGTATTATGTTATATTCAGTCTATGACCTCAGTCGACTTATTGGAATTTTAATTTGTTCAAATTCCACTTGAATACAAGTATACTATTTTTGACAAACCTTTGAAAAACGACGAGGTTGTCGTTAATAATCAGAGTGAAGGTTTTTACGGTTGATACTATAATCGCGAAAGTTTCGTTTACAAGTTTCGGGGCTTTCATCAGTTCTTCATGACTTGTCGTATTTTTGCGGTCTTTTTGCGTCTTTGAGCGGTATATATGTATGCGCGAGCTATTTATGTGAATGGATCCACTCTAGAAAAAGAGGTGGTCAACTTGAAAAGAAAACGCCTGAGTCATTATAGTAAGCTCGCATTTAAATAAACTAACGTTAATATAAATAACAATCCAAATACTTCGACCAAGAGGCCATATATCTTGATGCAATTAATACCTGATATAAATTTTGTTGCACAGCCAGCAACAGATTTAAATACTTTATCAAACAAGTATCATTTAGTAGTCACTTATATCTTTAGGATGAAATTAATAGGGTAGCAGACACACAGGCGTCCATCGTTTTTCTCAACCAAAGGTCTAAATAGTAGCAAACCGTAAGACCGATATATAACCAAGACCAACGTGTGTCACTGGAGTGATTAGCAGCCAATCGAAATTTCTAATAAATCCACAACTGTTATCCCCTTTTGGTGGGAGCAGGATCTCTTTCCATCATCACGAAATGATGATGCTGTAGGAACAGTGGGTTGCGCCTTACACACGTCCGGCGCTCACAAGTGTTGTTGCAACTCTATTTTTCATCGCTGGTGCCCATGTAGCTGTTGTCATTGTTGCTGTAATTGGTTGTGATTGCCATGGCGTAAATAATATCCTGCTGCGTTGCTAAATACACGAAGGCCAGCGCGGCAATAAGACAATGTGACGGTTAGTGTGTCAGCCGAGCAACAGATTGCCATTAATCACAATTGCCTCGAATGCAACCTGCTGTGTTCTTGCTTTTTGTTCCCTCCATTGTTAATGCCGTTTATTAATGCTAAAGCGCGAGAAAGCGGATTAACACATCAAGAAATAACAAATTATTTAGCACCTAATTGTCTGTTGTTCTTCCTTCTCGACACTAAGAACAATAAAAAACGGCTTGTCTCTTGGAAGTATAAAAATCAACAAACTCATAGCACATTCATCAGTCGCCATCAACAACCGATTTGATGCACTCGTTTGTCTCCGTTAGTTCATTGACGAAGTGAAAGTGAACGGTACTCGATATTCAGTATAGAAGCGTGCCGGGCAAATTTGTTGACTTATTTGGCTTGCCATGAGCAATTTATGTGTGTTCAGTCTGCTTCTCATTCTCGCTGCTTCCTGCTACGTTTCTGGCGGCACCGAGGCAGCCAGCAAGAATGACGACGACTTTCTGCAGGTGAGTGCCACCGATTAATACGGATGTAAGCAATTTCAGTTCCGTCTGCTTTTTGCCACGCTCAGCTCACACAGTAGACGTAACGCAGACGTAACCTATAGCTTGGCTGCACCCTTGGTGCACCCATTTCCCGAATTTCCGAGTTTCCGTTCAAAGCAAATCAGTTTTGTTTGCGATTTGCAATGTTGGCACTCGTAATTAAGTGCAGTTAAGGAAAATAAAATCCAAATAAACTACGTTCTGTGACAAATATCTATTGGTACGTTGCATACACATCCGAATGAACCGCAATAAATGGAACGAACTGTGATGCTGTGGTAGCTGTTGGGTCAAGGTTTTGTTGGAGGATTCTTTTTAAGGATATTAATATCTGTAATTTAGGTGTTGTAGGTTTTCGCTCTTGCTCTCATTTTGAGTCCAAAGAGAGGCTTCACCGTCCACGCATACCTACATATATACCACGATTTCTTAGCTGTTACTTGCGTTGTCACGGAAGAACGGAATAGCCAACTTATCTAAATATTTTCATGATTCCTTCAAGGTGCTTCAAGTAATTAATTTGCGATGGAAACACAGCCATTTCGACAAGAAAACAAATTTCCCAAGCTGCAGCAAAAGAACTTTGAACATTGCTTAAGTCATTGAAAGGAAGAACGCATGTTAATCTCCAAATTCTAGACTCGCAATGGAGGCAATGTGTTGGCTGCTTTTGCTTTTGTCCATTCTTGTTGTTGGCTGCTTTGAGTCCTCGACATGAGTTGAGCATAAGTATTGAAACTTTTCAAGTGACTTCCGACGTGAAAGCTTTGTTTGCTTGCAACTATTTTGTTCCGTTAACGGTTTTGGGAACAGTTGATTAACTGTGATTTGTCTACATTGTAACTTATACGAAATATAGCTTGAAAGCTGGTTTACCAGTGGTTGCGTATACGCCAAGTCCCACATGAGTTGCAAAAGTTTTGTTTCTTTTGGGATTGCAAATGTGCATTGCACGCAGAAGCCGATTTAGATATAATTATGACTTGATAAAGTTCAAAAATTTGTATTTAAGTACTGTAGTTTGAGTCAATATTCTGTATCGCTTCAAATTAGCATTGTAATAAATAAATTAACGGTCTTCTTGCCCTTACTACCTAGTAAGCAGTCTGAGTTTGCACCTTCCGAAAACCCCGTTGTCATTTAGTTTATATTGGAATTTGCAGTCAACCATTAAAGTGGCTTAGTTACTCCATCCGTGGTGGCATATTACAAAATTTTAACTTTAATGCGAGAGCAGTGGAGGCAGGAGAGGAAAAGAGTAGCAAATACTACCACATTCTCGATTAAATGCTCGAAGAAGCGATCAGCTGAGAGAAAATAAACACAACTAAGATTTACAGTAACTCCAACACCGCTACGTCGCTGGTCGTTAAAGTGGAGATAAATAGTCCCCATTGATATTTTTACGACTAACTGAAATAATCAGTGCCAGTGCTTCCTGGCATTCAAGTCGCGCCTTTCCTAAAATTTGATATACAAATAACTCTTTCCTATATACTGAACAAAGTGATTAAGTAATGAAAGAAATTGGAGTTTATTGAGAATTCTATATATGTATGTTAATATTAAATATAAGATTACATTACTTTCTAAGGAGAAAAGGCACCCATTAAATTCGGAACTCTCATTTTCACTGCTAAACCGATTTTATTTATGAGAGAAGACCTATACCATCGAGACGAACCATATATGAACAACTCTAACTGTTCATCCCCTTTAGGTGGCCTATAATCCGTAACAAAACCTGCATAACTTTTCTCTGATTTCTTAGCAAGTATCTTAATTTATTTGTATTAAGGTTTTCTAATGATCAACTATCGAAATAATCGTCGCAAGCTTTTCATCTATTCAATGTTAAAAACGGGAACTTTTTCAGTTTGCTCTGGAAGAGTTGGCATGAAGTGGCTAAAAGTAATATACAAGTAGTCGAAAATGTCACTTCGTATTTCTAATCAAACCTCAACTAATTTTTATACTCTGAGCAGGGTATATTAAGTTTGTCACGAAGTTTGTAACACCTAGAAGGAAGCGTCGGAGACCCTATAGTAACAGCATTAGTCTACAGAAAAACTGCTCATTTATTTTATATATTAGTATTTCATGTA